GTTTTGGAAAACTTTCATCCATTAAATATAAACATGGTTTTCATGCTAAAATTTGACAAATTTTTATAAAATTGCACATTTTGTCATTTGCTAATCAATCTATACTGTCATGTTTCTATACAATATAGAGTAACTACAGCTCCTTGACTAATGCTTTTCAATTATTTAATTCATAAATATGCTTTGAAACTTTATTTCAAATATATTGATGTGTATGTCCCGATGCCATTGCTTAATGCTCTGCTCCTGCTAATTACTAAAACACTATTTTCAAATGCTAAACGCACATATGTTTTACAGTCCATTCAAATAATTAAGTGCTTATTTGTAAAGACTATACCTGATAATAAATTATCGACTAAGTGATATAAACTGATAAAGTACTGTTTGTCTTAAATAGATTTTGAAACTGTTGTGTCATGTAGCCTTGAGTCAAAATATATTTTATGCTCATCAATGAGTCATCACCAAATTGCATAATGCTGGTGACTTTCTTTGAGATTTCAAAACAAAATTTAAGATGATAGAACAAAACAAATTTGCGTAGGCATATTTTAACGAAGGCTGTCTCTTTTGCAAAAAAGGACAATTTTTCATTAGTGTCTATCTATCTCTTCACCACCGTAGGTGCTTGAATAAGTCCTCGGCAATTCAAAAATGAAAGTCACAGGCGCATTGATATGTTCTAGAGATTAAACTTTGAACTTAATAATTACATACCGATTTGAGGGGTTGCTTTGTATCATTATCATATGTTTATCAGTACACATATTTTTTGTTGTATTTTGATTTTCTTTTGACAATTTTCATATGAACTAAGAACTTATTCTAATTTAGGGACTGCATCATAATCTGCAATTCTAAATGGGGTGAGGGTGCAGTACAATGAACAGGAGACCCTTTTTACATAGATAGTTTGATATACATTTATACCATTTATCAAAATTTATCAAAAGTTTTGAAACTAGAATTTATAGACTAAGGAAGATTTTTAGACTACATAAGTAAGAAAAATATTGCAGCAAAAATGTTTTTGTGATTTTTTGGATCAATGTAGGAAAAATCTGCTGTTATTTTGGAATTTGGCAAGATAGCTGAACAAAATTGCACAAAGCTTACTTACTTCATAAAAAACACACGTGGTCATATTCTAGTATCTTTTTATCATTTAAAGGATACAGGACATTAGCATTTCAAAAATGATATAGCTACTGATATTTTGAAGAAAATGACATTCCATGCTTGATTTTAAGTCACTATTCATTCCGCTTTTTTGTAAGATGCTATTCATTCGAGAACAAATTACCATCTTGATCCTTAATCTAACTCAAAATGACAGCTGCATGGCATCAATGTATCCAAAGCTTTAAATCAAGGAAAAGGTATAAAACTTTGTGTTAGTCTGGGAACAAAACAAAAACAAAACAAATGAAATTCAGCAAATATGGTTCATTTATAAGGTTCACAGCCCTAACTCTCATTTAAAGTAGAGATGCCTCTTTTTAGATGGCATACATAGTTGAATTTTCTTATATACCAAACATATATTTTACTTGACAAGGAGCCAATGAAACCAGAGGTTGTATATTGATGCATAAGGTTCTAAAAGTAAGATTCCAGTCATCTCTGGAGTTAAAACACCCTCCCTATATTGCTCCGTGCCAAGTGCTGCTTCTTCGACAAAGACTCTTTATGGCGCAGGTAATATATTTGATTGTTTATCTTCTTCTTCTCAAGTGACGACAAAAAGTATCATAATTGACCCAGATCATTACATGCAAAGAAGCTTGCTATGAAAGATATAACGTTTTGCTTTAATTCCCTTATGTTAATTTCCTTATGTTTGCATTCAAAGTTGCTGGCAGTGTTCCTTAACTAAGCTCAGCAAGGTCTGTACAAGTGCGGTCTTGCCAAAAATATGTTGACACAAAGACCTATTAAAATTTTCTGGAATCAACCACCAGTATCATTTTATAAAGGAACTACTTATTTTTGTCAAATATATTATCTGCAGCTTCCTACATGCCTAGATGAATTCTTCTTTTTTCACTATTCCGCGTGAGATTCAATGGAAGTTTTTTGCCTGCCGACACAAATATCAACGCAGATAGAATTCATCTGGCGAATATAGCTTTGATAAAATAATTGTTAAACAAATATGTAAAATGCATATTTCAAGCGAAAGGTTACAATCAGAATGGGCGTGATTAATAAAAACGTAAGCATACCAATCTACGTTTACCTCAGATGTTTATAAATGAAATGTTCGTAATTTCATTGTTGATACGGTAGTTAAGAAGGGACGGTATTCCTTTAAAACTGAAAATTGTTCAATTCATAAGCTTCCCCCGCCGTATTACTAATCGGCTGATAACGTCTAATCTGTCTTGGGATCTTTCAACAAACTCGTATATCGCAAAATGTACAGAGAAAGTCCACCTTGCAATGAATTAGTTGTAAAGTGTTTTGTTTAACTGAGTACAAACGTATCGTAAGACTAACATTTTACCGCCCTGGCCTAAGCAACAAACGACGCGGTTTTTGATTTTCAATGATAACACACAGCACCTTGAAAGTTCGTCTAGTCGAGATTACCATTGATAGAGAAAGCAAGGACCAAGAAGCTCGGGGATAATCTGATTTGTTCTGGTACGACTGCAGACTTCTATGGAGTTCTGCTACCAGAAAGGTATGCTACTAACTAAAGCCTATTAACTTTTCATTTGGTTTCCAATTCAGCAAAAAGGACTTTCCAAAAAAGTCATCAATGTTCTGTAATAGGCATTTTTGAATGCTGTTGTTTTTTAATCACTCGTTAACTTGTGACCAACCAATAACCTTTATTAATTTATCTATTTGAAAAAACACGAATTGAACAGATTAGAAACTGTTCTTTCGAAACTTTCTAAGGCTTGACTAATGCCTATACGGTACGTAAGTTGCTACTTTACCTAACCATTGTTCGGGTGCTAAGCTGAAATTCTGAGCATTGTGAAAAGAGGCTTTTTATTAGGTATCTATTCATCCAGAGTTGCAAGGGATGCATTCTTTGAATATTGAAGGTGGAGAGAGGGGACAACACAGTCGAAAAATGCAGGTATCAAATATCGAAAAGGGAATATGAAAAGAAAGAGGAAGGCAAGCTCAAAGTACTCTATTGGCATTTGGTACGGCCCAAGCTTAACTGCTCTCTGTGAAATGCAGTTTTGATGGAATTTAATGCTGTGTGAATAATTTCAGTGGAATAAAGCTTATTTACAAAATTTTGACAAACTTACTAAAAGGGTTAGAAAAATTTAGTTGCTTTCTTATAAAGTGAATTTCTTATATATAGATTATGAATATTACAAGATTTAAAGGATATGAATCGTTGATCTATCAAGAAATAGATGAAAAAATATAAATTTTTAGGGCATGTAGCGAATTTCAGGAGATCAGTACCACTGGGCACATGTGTCAATTAAGGTAATTCTAGCTTAGTTTTTCAGCAGCTTTAAGGGCTTGTATGATTCTTGCTATCTTGTTTTATGCAGAAATTCACATTTATTGTTTACTCGAAGTTACTCTTAAGCTCGCTTAAAATTTCGGAAACACGTTCCCTTGTAAATCTTCAATTTTCTTAGTGAGGTTGATTGCAAATTATTTCTGGTGTAAATATCTTTACAAAGACGACCATCATGTTCTGGGCATCGATCATATTTCGGAAACACATTCCTATATAAATATGAACTTTTCTTAGGGAAGTTGTTTGCAAGTGATTCCGGGGGCTCTGATCATATTCTGGGCATCGTTCATGTTCTATGCCGAAGAACCCTGAATTTCTTAATATCTTTTCTCGTCAAGAGCCAACAACTTAATATGTTTTCTCGTCAAAATATCCAACTTTTAAAAATTCTTTAATCTAGTGATAATGTCGCGCATCAGATATTACTTTGAGTTTAGAGAAGTGAACTATTAACTTGATATAACTATATGCATAATATGAAGAAATATGGTGTTATAGATTGCATTGAGATAAAAATGTAGACACGTTATAGTGCTCTCGACAGGTGAACAGTGGCTGCGACGCAGCTATGAAGGCGCCTTCGAGCCGCAGCTATGCAAAACATCATTGACGCGCCTTGAGAATGCGTCGCAGACTCTAAAAGAAACTTGCATCATTTCTCTCAAAAGTAATGCGGAAAATGTTTTTCGTCTTTCAAGGACATTCTAGGCACGGATTTTATCTAATTTTTCAAAAAGGGAAACGTGCCTATAAAAAAGGTTGTGTGTGCTACAAGATTGAGTTTTTTCTCTAACTTGTTTCAATAATTCAAAAACAAAGAAAATCAATGCAAATCTCTCCTCCGTTTTTGTGTTCAAGGCTTACTAATCTTAAAAAGCGGTAAATAGAAGCTGCGTTTGAAAAGATTAATCAGCTTCCAAGCAAGGTTAATGTTTCTGAATTAAGAAAGAAATACAAAAAAGCTTTACGAACTTAAAGATTCTTTGCAAGTTGAGGGCTGGCTTTTCAACTTATTTCATCTAGCTCAAATATTTGATTTCCTACACCTCATATGGTATCATATGGAGTACCAAAATTGCTCTTTCCAAGCTCCCCGGGTCAATTTCAGGCCACATATGTACTAACTGATTTCAGCATTGACTTTTGCATCAACCCTTAAGGTATCTAATGGAGATTTAATTTCTAGGATCTGTCTTTTCTATTATAAAAGTGCACAGGTATTTCTTGCCTTAAATATTTAGAAATATATTTTTCACCCGCTTGGCAAAGTTGACAACTTCCAGTTGCTGATTAAAGACCGTGTTCAAATTTTCGAAGGTATTGTCCTATAGAGCCAGGACTTGACAAAAAGGCGATAAATTTTCAGACTGAAGCTTTTCATTATTCTGAATCTACTAACCCACGTTTCACAAAAGGTAAGGGGACCCATAATAAATTGGCTTTTATGTCCCAGAAAACTTGAATTTCATGGATATTTTCTGATTTTTCTCCCTAGGTACACAAAGATATAGCTAAAATACAGATTTTTCAAAGGGAGAGGCCAGTATCAGAAAATGACGCTTTTCGCCGCAACAGGAGTCACTCCGTTAAACGAAACTACAAACAATACATTGCACTCCAGCCAGATTTATACCACTAGCTCTGTTAATGGGACAGTAATTGGCAATTCCAGTACCACTCAGTCTCTATCAACCATATCTACTATACGAATTTCAATCTATGCAGTTTCCCTTTTTTTTGGTTTGGCAGGAAACAGTCTGGTTATTATAACAAGCATTCTACAACGCAAACAACTTAGCCGCTCACGGTTTTTGATTGCACATCTCTCCTTCACAGATATCATTTTTACTTTACGTTTACCCCTTCAATTCAAGCTTGAACTTGAAAATAATTGGTGGGACTATGGCACAGCGTGGTGCAAGATTTTTCATGGGGTCAATTCAATGTCAATGTTGGCTTCTATTGGTACAATGACAGTTATTGCGGTGGAGCGCTACCGCGGAATAACTAAACCTTTCTTGGCGAAGATCAAACGGTCAACTTTGATATACAGTTTGATTATAGTATGGGCAATAGCTGTTCTGACGTATTCTCCTGCCTTTGCTCTCCGCCAGGTGATAAACAACAGGTGTCAAGAGGTGCACCCAAATGTTGCGTTTTCAAAGGTCTACAGCGTACTTCTGGTTGTCATAAAGTATATCCTGCCATTGTCTATCATAGGCTGGTGCTATTCCAAGATCGTACATGCTATAAGAAAGCGCCCAAAAATCGGCGAGCATATTGCCCAACAAAAGAGAAGGAGACAGGATGATAAACGCATAGTTAGATTGCTTGTAGTAATGGTAATTGCCTTTGCGGTCATGACGTTGCCCGCCTCAATCTGGTGGTTATTATATGATTTTGAACTATTCAAGTCAACGGACAGTCCAATGCAAATAACAGAAATACTTGCGACCATGGTTTATCTTCATAGCTGCGTTAATCCAATAGTCTATTTCATTATGGATGGCAAATTCAGGTCTGATGTTTTGGATATTTGTAAGTGTCGTCGCCAGAGCAAGAAAAACGTCACCCCGCACACAACTAACAACAACGAATCGGCTTCTAGGCATGTCGGCAATTTTAACAAGGCCTTGGTTGCAGAAGAGAAGTCAAATTCAGAAATTTCTAGCACTAAATTCTGAATACTTTCAAGCTTCTTTGACCTGATTGCACCGATGCACGTCAAAGCAAAAACAATTACTGCTGCCACTTGTCGTAAGGACTGGCGATAATTACTTAGCCAAAAATTTAATACTTTAAGGAAAGAATTTTCAAGTTCCTGTTGAAGCATGAAAACAGAGAAATACCGAGTTCTAAGCATCTTTTGGTTCTTCTTATGTTAAAGAAACAACAGACGTTACAAGATGCTTTGGAAGCGAACTTGCAATCCTAGCAGTAACTTTGAAAAAAAACAACCTCGTAGAAAACTTTATACGTTGCCATCATGGAGACACTTTTTCATTATATACGATGAAAATCACAGCAGAAATCTTATGTTGCAATTCTTCTGTACCAAAGGCTTAGTTAACTATGGTATAGATAAAAGATTATTTTTAACTGTGTCGCAAAAAGTCGCAGAATTAGTCACTAGCCAAGAAAATAACGTATTATTTGAATATGTATCTTAAAGATGCACTCGTAGATGCATGCACTTTATAAAGATATCTCAGTTAAGAGATTTGAAAGTATCAGGAGACGCCAAAATGGACATAAGGTGTAAAAATACATATTTATATATATATATATGAGTTTGTGACAGGTTATATCTCTTACTTGAGCTCTTAATGGCATAAAACTGTATAATCATAATGTATTACGTCTTGACAGCAAATTTCATGTTGGGCCTCCAGATTGAAAATATGATTCGAAGAGATGCTTATTTGTTCAAGTATACAATACCTAAATCGAAACTTTAATCTGCCTTGTGGAACATGTAGGGGTGAGTGCAGAAATATATGATGAAAAATTCTAAAGAAACATTTCAATTCACAATTATAACTACGTCATCAGCACAGAGAAATATAATAAATTTTTATCGTTAACCTCAATTCAGTTTCTCTCTAGCGATGGCAAAAATGAATGTCAACGGACCCAAGATTACAATTTTTTGAAGAATGTTAAAAGGTAGAAAATACATGAAAGAAAGCATTGAGTCCATAGCATGAAATAATTGAAACAATGACATGTTAAGCAGATGACGATGGGCAAACTAGGAATTGTTAAGCTTTAATGAAAAATGAGCTAATAATGAGCGTAAAGGATTACACTGGTATGCTTCACAAAAGCTATTTAAGTTCAAAACGAAGACAAATTATTATTTATCGCTTATTGGGTAGACTACTTAGTTATTCAATTTAGCTAGCAAAATAACTAGTTAGAAGAGGCTCTAAGATGCCAGTGTGAAAGCTGGCTTCAATTAAAATTAGTGCGACTTTGTTAAAAGTGTATGGTTTAAGTGCATTCGCTCAATCGCGAGGCCAGAGCAAAGCAAGTGGAAACCCGTCTTAACAAAAGGGCTTCAGCAATCTGTCAATCAAAAATTGACCAATTAGCGAGCGTGACGCCATTCACGTGCTTATTGATTGGCTGATACTGACAGCGATTGCCTTCCAGCCATAATCATCTTCATATGAGAATACGCAAAGTAGCAAGAACAAATCCGCTTCAGCTACATAATGTTTGAAGATCAACACTAACTCCTCACTGGCGTCAGTTGAACACTTTTAATCTCATTTAAACTGAAAGTACTTATATACCCATTTTATCCTTGAATTTATTGCATTGAAGAAATATAATAAATGCCATTTGGTACATATACAAGGAAGCAATAGCTCTGGTACTGACGTTATGTTGTCTTTTGTCTGCCTCATTCATTCCAATTCATGGACTAGTTATTTTTAAGAAGATGTGGCGATATGGGGAAATAGGCGAAAGAAACTTTCACTATCTTGTTGGACTAAACTTTGTCATGTTTTTCTCTGGATCAGTTCTCCTCGCCCAACTGTTGACCATTTTTGTAACAGATCTGATTTCTGTACACTTAACTCTAGCTCAATATAGAAATTAACTTATGAAAAAATGGTACCCTTCTTGAGTCTATTTTAGGAACCCGTCTCTTTGTGTCTGCTTTAATCACCCCAAAATTGTAGGGCATATTCATCATGGACGAAGTATTGGAGTTTTGTGTAACATTATCACAATAATCCAAGTTGCACTCAAAGGCAGTACGTCGCGCCGTTCATTGGTTTATCGAAACAAAGAACAAAATTTCTATTTCAGTGAGTTTTCATTTCGTAACAAAGGACGCTTAATGATGCTAACGATGAGTTGTTCTAATTTGTCACACTTCTCTCATTTCGAGAACCCTCGAAATTCAACAAAATGAACAGCGCGACACACTGCCTTTAAAGGCAGTAAAGATCTCCAAGTAAGTTCTACTTAAACTTTAGACACGAATGTCACCACCCTTTGCTGATTCGTAACGCTTCCATTTGTCTCAGGATTCTTGAAGCAGGACGAAAAAAGTTCTCGAACTCCTTGCTTGAACTTTTTATCCATTATCCCGTAAATAACAGGATTGATTGCACTGTGCAGATACAGAAAAGCGGCAAAAACCTCGACAAGATCAAGTGCGACGGCACTGTCTGTTCCTCCGAAATCGTACCAAAGCCACCAGATTGATGTTGGTGCCGTTAATATCGCAAATGCGACAACAATTACGACAAGTATTTGAATGATTCGCATATTTTCGCGCTTTCGGTTGACTTCTGTCGCTTTATTTTGGTGCGTTGAAACACGAGTGGGCCGACGGTGGATCACCAGTCCAACTTTAAAGTAGCAATAGGACATTATTCCCAATGGTATGACGTAACGAAATATGAATATTATCACCGAGTATGCTTGTTGCACGGCGAGAGATGGGTAACTATCGCTGCAGTAGATGCCGCGTATCTCCAAGTAGTACATGTATGGAGAGTACGTTAAAAGGGCGATTCCCCATACGATCAAAATGCTGATGATGATATTCTTATTGGACCACTTAGAAGCGTATGGCTTTGAAATGCCGCGATATCTTTCAATAGCAATCACTGTGACAGTTTCTATCGATGCAAGCAGAGAAGCAGAATTGAACCCGTGCATCACCTTGCAATAGAAACGGCCCCATTCCCATACGTAGCCATTCACTTCAAGGCGGATTTGAAACGGTAGCCTTATTGAAAACAGTAGGTTGGTTACGGCCAAATGCGCCATTAGGATTCTACAAGGCGATAAAGATTGGCGATTCAATACGGATACCAGAATGACTAAGGAGTTCCCGATCCAACTTAGGATTATACTTAGAACGTAAATCGCAATCCTGATCTTCTGCTTGTCATTAAGAGCAGTTGCTGCTGTGGTTGCTGCAGTTGTAAGAGGCAGACTTGTAGAATTGAAGCATGAGCCGTTCACGAAAGGAACATTTGAGCAGTTGAGCGCCATATTGTTCCAATGCAAATCTAAACGTCTTAAATCTAGTTTGATTCCACAAGGTTGGTAATAAGGCTAAGGATAATATAGAAAGTTCATTACCTGTGGTACTGATTATCGGATTGCGTATAGCAGCTACAGGCCAATCGAAATGGTTGCAAAGACGAGACAGCAGTGTCCTGTTTATGGCTGGATGCACCCTTGCAATGTATAGCTTCCAAGTACCATGAAAGTTGCAAGCAATAAATCGCAATGAATCAAGAAGAACTTTCAGTCTTCAAACCATTTGCTATTGTAGAGAAAAATTAGGAAACCTTAGATCCCATCGCAACAGCTTTAAAACAAAAACAACACAAACAGCTTGAAAATGCATAAAGGAAAGCAAATGCATTGCTATTCCGTACATCAAACAAAAACAGCATGTGTTATTTCTAAAGAATAAGTATTTTTGCAAAACTTGCTTCAACTTTAGCACCTCCTTTGCAGTTTCATCGGCCGGCCGCTCGCGAAATGTCACGCAAGCGAATTCATTGAACTCAAACAACAAATATTTACTATAAACAAACACATTATGCCTACAAGAAGGAAACATAAAAAATAATGCTTTCATAAAAGATTCCAGTCTAATTTTGCATATCCTTTCGAATCTTTTCTTGTAATAAAATTCGATAAAAATTCCTTCTAGTAGGCAAATTTAGCAAACAGAATAGAAAAACAGCTATAAAACGGCAGCTTGAAAAAAATTGGCGGTCATTTGATCCAAAATAATGTAATCGTGATAAACCTTATTCGCAACATAATGTAATCGTAATACACTTTCATCGCAATAAACTGTAATTGCAATATACTTTTATCGCAATACAATGTAATCGTAATATACTTTGAAAGCAAAAGCCTGTAATGTCAATATTATGTAATCGCAATAGACTTAGGTAATCGCTATAGACTGTGATTACCATGATCAACTGTGATCACCATGACAATAATCGCAAATGATCTCAGTTACCCAACTGCAAAAGAACGAAATTTTCAATTTGTTCGAGCACTGCCTGACATATAATTTTTCTCATTTTACCCTATTACCGATAATTAGCAACAAAAATGAATGGCTGTCAAATATTTTAAACAATAAAGAAAGAAAAGTCGGTAGAAGCAACGAAATTCACGAAGAAAGATGCAGTATTAGCAAGAACGAGTCTGGGTCTGAGAACATATTCACCAACCCAGAAATGAATTTAGAATGAAGATGATAATTATAAGAGGTTAAAATGTTCCCTAATAAAACTTATTGCTTTTTTGATAAGAATCAAGAAACAGGAATAGATATATATTTTGTAAAAACCAGCTTCTAATATGTGCGTTACAAAGTTTTTGAAGCAAATTGCTTGTTTTCAGAAAAAAAACGACGACAGTATATGAATGAGAATGGCTCAAGGAAATATGATCCTTTTCAAAGGAAACAAAGAAAGAATAATTTTTATCATCAAAAACGTTCATCATTAGATAATATTGTTATTCATTGATGAAAACAGTATTTCAACGCTTTTTGACTGAATTAAAGCAATGCTTCAAATAAAAATCTCGGACATACCAAAGAATCTTGGACAGGGGTGTCTCCGTAAGACAGTAATCAACATGAATTTGATATAAAATTAACCACTTTTCATTCCCTTTGACCAAATTCCCAAAATTTCGAGCCAAATTGAAAGCAAATGAAGGGTATCATATAGGGTATAATTCAATTTGAATCAGCAAAAAAGTTGTGAAAAAATGAAGACGTGATATAAAAATGGCAGAAGTCGAGAGATACTCCTTTTTCGTTGAAAGTAATGCAGTTGGCATAAAAATTGCCAAGTACGAGACAAACCCACACAAAATATCAAGCTGAATATCCTTAAAAATGGCAATAGTATTAATTAGGGCAATTTTGAGCATCTTTCGTCTCGATGCCTGTTAAAAAAACGAGCGACGTTATACAATTACCATGTGCACAAATGGACGTGAATCGTCAAGTAAGACTAATCGTTAATGTTGATGACCAAAGCATAACCGTTTATATAGAAGAGGTGACCAGAGCTTGAACTCTAGAAGCCAAGTTGGCATTTCAGCTTGCTTAACAATTGAAACTCCATGAAAAACAGCTGAACTAGATGCCAAAGAACATAAAGTCAAAATAATTATTCTTTCATACAAGGAGAATATGTAAAAAAGATGTAATTATGGCTGAAATGCAATAGAGAACTTATGAACATACCTCAAATATCTGAGTCCTGTTCACCAGCCTGGCCTACTTTGGCCTAGAGAAGAGAAAAATTGCACCTTACTCTTAAGAAGTGGAAACCTCAAAAGTAAGAGACTTTTAAAAGACTTCAGAAGTAGAGACAGATGACTGTCCAATCTGCTACGACCTGGTATCAAATGATCATTTCTCACACCTATTTAGCAAAGTAAACAGGTCATTAATATTTCACGAAGTCTCTGAAAAGATAAAACTCCACCGGCAAAACAGGAAATTAATCTTGGATGGATTCTACAAACATGATAATCTCTAAATATGAAACAGGCTTGCAGTAATCGCTTACTGCAATGAGAAGGTAAAACCAGTAATTAGATATTATTTTAAGCTTGGTGTATTGTGAAGAGAAATCAAATTTTGCATATATGTTTTTGTAAATAAAGTAAATTCTTGCAAATCAGCAACACAAACAGAGAAGCCAAAATACAGCAAATCAATAACAAGGGATTTAGAAGTGACTTCAAAACAAATGAATTTGGTAGTTACTGACAAAAACCCAGATTTGAAGCCGTTTGAGTGAGCACCGGTAAAACAGCGCAGAAATGTTTTTATTTATTAAGAATAGCCTTGATAATTTGAATGAATTCAATTAAGATTAAAATGATATTGAATTGAATGAAAAATTGAATTGAATCTTGCCATAGTACCAATAGTGTAAACCTTAGATAGAGTGAGGATCAGGTTGTGGCAAAAATGACAAAGATCAAGATATGGAGAGGGGAGTATCCGGAGAGACGCTTATAGTGCAAGAATATAAAATGAGCCGCAAGCACAAGTGCCAGTATTGAAAAATTGGACTCTAGAACCCTAGCATGTGATGCTTCATGGCTGACGTTAATGTGAAATGATAATGTAAAAATTTATCACTACACATTTAAATGAAAATTGGGCTTTTGGGCGGACCCCCGAAGAAATTTTCGCTGGCCACGCCCTTTATTTTCTCATCGGGTATACTCAAGACAACAAAATTCTGTGTCATTGTCTCCATAAAATTTGAAAGTTGTGAAAAATGCATGAAATTTGCCCTTCATGACTATAAACGGTTTTGGCACTGCATAAAACCGTTTTATCCCCACGTATATCACTGCACATCTAACTTAGGTATACAAGGGCAGTACGGTATTTGCGTTAATAATACCCAAAGGAATGAAACTGTGTTCTAACATATCCTCTGAGGAGCTATTCGATTAACAGGACTGTATACTCATGAGAAAAATGCTTATTCATAACCCTATCAAAACTGACTTTTTAATTCCCTTACGTTTACGTAAAATTGATTATTTTGGATGAACTAATCTTTTTATCTCAGTTTATTACAATATGCAGAAAGCTCTGCACTTTGTAAAAAGGGTTATTAGCAAAACTGAGTTTAGGTCGAGATTTCAGAGAAAAATAAACAAACATGTAAAATCTCTTATTAGTTTTCGAGATATCATTGAACAATGATTTGAACTGCAGCTTATGAAAGCGTTTGCATTGCATTGGAAACATCTGCCTTCTTAGATACCAGTTGAATTCTGCTGCATTCATTATCTGATAAGTAGAAGAGATATAGAAATGACAATGCCATCTTTTCATATTGTCTGGGGATTACTTTTCGGAATGCAGAATGAAGATGATGTTGCAGATACGTTCTGATAAACCAGTAGGGATTAATGATAACAGAAAGACAGCTGGCATTATGACAAAGCCTCCTTCGTGTTAAATGGCCTCGTATTTTGCAATGGCATGGCAACATTAGAAAGACTACAAATGTAAAATGACCACATTGAGATAATATGAGATGCACCTTTTTTTATAACGAAAGTGGTGTACCATAAAAAACTAAAGAAATTATAGAGACACACGCGGTTGTCAAGGAACACACGGTTGTCAAGGAAATGAAGAAACACACGGTTGTCAAGGAAATAATCATACATAGCATATAATCGCCATTTTGATGATCTCTTAAAGAAATGTTCTTGCTTTGAATCGGTCATACATACAGTTAACATCCGAATATTAAAAACTCTATTCTATAAGAAACTGCAGCCTGATTTTTTTCAAAGTATTTATTAGCAATAATTACATGTATAAGAAACTGTCAAGCCATAGTTTTATCCAGTTCCATATTATACTGTTTATTGTAAGCAAAACTTGTGAAACAAAATAAATGCAAGAAAAAGTTTTCCGGAAAAAACTAGCCTGGAAATTATTGGATATAGAAGACTTAGTAAAAGCTACATACGTTCAAAAAGTATTGGGACACCCTTCGAAACTTCGAAGAAATTTTATGCAACAAATTCGGAAAGACTTTTTTAAAATCTTTCTCATTAAAAAAGTACGGCAGTTATTTCCATGAAATTTTCACAAGACATTGTTGATATTTTGAAGCCTTTTATGTACGCCAAAAAATTAAAAATACATCTACCATAAAATTTCTATAGGTCTCGAGACGAAAACATGGAAGCTCTGAAAACTCAAGAACTGAGTTAGGAGAAGCGCTTAAAAATTGCTTTCTACTATAATAAAGTAAATGGATTTTGCGATATTGCATCAATTCTCGGCTGCTCAATGAGTGCAGCTTTTCTGGTGTGTAAAAAGTTTTTCCGTACAAGAACAGAAAAAAATTTACCAAGGGTTTGCAGACCAAAGAAGTTTACGACGCCTAGGGACGACAGGTCTTTACTGAGGGAACTGGAAGTAATAGGTTTGAATCCTTACTAGATATTATGTTGTCGTATAAAAGGAAGCTAATTTTTGGAACATAAGCAAAAACATGGCTATAGAAGTCATGAAAAATACAAATTTTCCAGCGTTATAAGAAGAAAATGCTCTCTCAAAGCAAAAATTACTCATCGACGATGAGTACAATGGCTTTTCCTTTAATGTTACGCAATTTTAAAAGTAGCTTGAAAAAATGCAATAATTTAATAAATTTGTAGCATTTTCGTCGATGAAGTAAATTTTTTTTGAAGCTTAAAAGTTTGATTTTATAATTTCTTTAATAATTTTTTTTGTTATGCAAAGGTGAAATTAAAAAGTTGTATTTGTTTGGACAGCTCTAAAATTTTTGGAAGGTCATGTGACTTTGCCATTGTTAGGCCATTCAGCCCTTCTGCATATTTTGCTGTTATAATCAGGAAAATCGAAAGAATCCTGTGTTTTCTTGGTTATTCTTCATAAGTTGAAGCATTTTGTTAACTTTTTATTCCATTTTGGGGAAACTTGGGCCTAGATTATTTGTATAAAGACTTGCCAAATCTGAAAAAGTTTCCGTTGCAAAACCAAATCCAACGCAACGCCATAGTTCGTTTATCGAATTCGTCCCAATACTTTTTGAACGTAAGTGTATTACTGTAAAACCCCTGGAAAATGTCTAGAAACATTTTTAGCTAACCAAGTCTGAAAACATTAAACGATAGATTGAGCCCCTTCACATTTAAAAATGTTCTTGCAGCAAAATGCGTTCTTCCTGTATTCAGTTCGTTGGTAGAAATATTTTATCAATGCTGTAACGATGCCCTGAGTTGCTGGCAGCCTGGCAACGGCACAGCAAAAGAAACGCTGCAAGAATTGCTATGGTAATACGAGTAAGTCAGTAGATATTCAGAAATGCTTGTGTATTGGAAGAATAAGTCAGTGGGGAAACCAAACGATCAATTACGCAGAGACACTTCACCGTTGAAGTTGATAACAAACCAACACTATGTTGTTTAAAGAGGAGATACCAGATTGAAAAAATGGAATTGAATGCAAGATAATTTGTGTCACTCCGCTTTGCGATCACCAGAACAGCAAAGATAACGAACAAAGAATCAGTCTTCACCTCTGTCAAAAGTTAATGCATTTAACTTGAAATTTACTCTGAAAAGGCAGTTCTGGTAGATATTCCGTCATTATTCTTTCAAAATAGGCCATTAAAGTAATACCGATTCACACGAGGAACTAAAGACGAGGGACTTAAGTTGGAAAGGGCCAAAATGACTTATCGTTAATGCAGCTATGTTTTTGTCTTGACATGATCACAGAGAGTAAAGAAAGGAGAGATCCCATGCATTTCTGCTTACCAACACTAATCAAATCCACAACCACTTTCAGCTTTGTAAGCAAACATTTGTTCGAGCTAGTACTTTGACGATAGACTTAACTTCGGGCGGGAAAGTTGAATAAATGGGTTCTTATGAATAAAACAGATATTTCAATTGAAAGTAGACTAGTTTGTTATTTCACCCCCTTTAGAAAAGCGTTTCTAGAACAAGCTTGAAAGACATGGAAGAGGGTTTTCACGTCAATCTTCTCTAAAAAAGTGTAGGGAGAATGCAGTTGTAGGGGGCTACTTGACTTTGTGTGAAGGTATAACAGAGACATAAAATATTGCATTTAGAGATTAGCTTAAGAATTCTTGGAGCCTTTTTTAACGTCTTGGAACATTGGAAAATGCTTTTGCTTAAGTTGTCCTGAAAGCAACTACCATGAAGCAGCAATGTCAAATCATCTGCCGATTTCAGGCCATTTCGTATCCTATAGCATTCTTGCCCAATATTGGTTTATGCATGCTACAACTTCATCACGCACGTTGCTGTAGTGGGGCGTGTGGGCTTACACCCCCTATGAAAAAAATTAATGCAAATTTCCAAACTTGTTGGTAAATAAAGGATGGCTCAACAAATTTTTCAGAAAATGGGACTTGGGGACCCCCCTTGGGCAAAATAGCTAGTGATGAGCCTGAACTTCATACTACAGAAATGTTGGTTGATATTCGTCCCGATACAAAAAACTGCGTTGTATAGCAGCCCAGTGGCCTGTACTGAAGCATATAACGAAGGCAAGCGGAACTAAACTAGAGGCAAAGCAAGGAACGCGAACATCGAGTCGAGATCGTTGCAGATACTTGAAAAAGTCAAAGCAATTTTTACGGAAGAAAATTGAGTTTGTAACTGAAGTAGAAAAAAAGGCAATTCATTGGACTCATTTTTCTAAGAATTTACCTTAAAACCTTAGAGAGAAAAAAAAATCTGTCATCACACTCGCTACCTCAAAAGGTGCATATATTATCAAGAGGACACTAATAGAGCTCAAACACTTTGAAAACAAACTCGTCATAGAACTTTCTACTTTGGCACACTGCAACCTTGAATCACCATTAAGAAAAATGTTCCCTTAACTAAAATGAGATTTCAAGTAAAAAAAATAAAAGGATCATCTACACAACCATCGAAGAAAACTATATATTTATATTTGAAGAAACATCTCTTCATTAATTGATGTTCAAAGATTTAGACATAACCAGGTTGATATGAGTTTACAAGGAAACAGTTACGTAAAAGGTACCAATTTGTGGAATGTCTCTCTTTAAATATGTCACTCAACCTGGGAAAGCGTCTTTTTATTTCCTCTGCGATTTCTCCAACGAGAAAGCTCGTCCAGGTCATTTACCTCGAGTTATAAATGAAGCTGCATTCTACATATAACACCATAATTTCTCTTAAAACGTCATTTCAGTCATAAAAGGCAAGTATTCAACTGGTTTACAATTTAACTTTCAATATTGGAGACGATGTAATAATACTGCTTAACAACATGTGCAGTCAATTAAGAGAAAGATTGTTTCAAGGAATATGAACTGCACAAACCTCCATATGTTCGTCCGAATGTGCTTGTAGTATCAATGCGGACTGAAAAACGTATCTTTATTATATCCCTCTGTTCTTTTCATCAATCGGTTACCCTCTCTTTATCATACCACAAGACAAGCAGTTCAATCACAAGCGATGACTTTCCTAGAGACCAAAATCAAGATGCTTGATTTGTTATATTTATCAAATAACATATATAAAACAAAACAAATGCTATTTAGCACATACACCGACAAACAAAACATGATCTGCAATGCCAAACAAAAGGGCAGGTGCCATAAAGGAATCTATCTGCTTCCAAATTAAGCGAATGAGAAGCACCTAAATTAATAAAGTTTTTCAAAGACATGCAAATCAAAAGGGATAGAGGTCATATAAATTTATTGTTCCAACAGTAATTGGTTTAATATCAACGGTTCTACAGTATCATTGTTGCGATTTTGCAATATACAATAGACTATTGTATAACTCCTCAAGGGGATATTGCAATATCTGAGTTGATTACACTGTGCGTTAGGTCATCATACCCAGAAAAACTCTATTACTTGTGACACCTGTGTATCATAAACAACAATGGGGGGAGGGAGGGGGGAGGGGGTTGTTGGTCTAAAGTTTGTATTGACCGATATTCTTCGCATAAAAAACTTCACAATATAAAAGACACAATGTTTAAAATACAGGCGCACCAAAACCAGGACCGAGAAACCGACAAAGGGCCCCCCTTCTGCAGCACCCCTATTAAGCCATTATACTTTATAATTTCAGTTTAGAAAAACAAAAGTTGTGGTGCCTTGAAAGTTGAAAATATGCTTATTTTTCGGGTGTACGTGCATTCACTTTTTTGACAAATTTGGGCGCTTATAACATCTCGAGGTATTAACACCTCACCAGATCCAGCTCCAAATTTGATACTTTTTATTTACAGCATGATGACGTCACTCAAATTGCTTTCTATCTGTGTATCAAATCAGCGCAGTTTCCACCCCTCTGTCCAGGCTCGCTGTCATATTTCTAAGATAGCCATATTCAAATTAAAACAGACAGGGGGACTTTCGGCAATCATTGAAGATTTTCAGATATTATCATTCAATCGTGATTTTGTCGGGAGGTTTTGAGTATATAAATATTATCAAATAAAAATTACAATAGCTAAGAAAGCTTTAATGAAATTCGAGGAACCTCAAAAAGACAGTGGAAATCCTCCGATGTGAAGTTTCTTGCGAATGAATTGGCACACAGAACAGCTTTTCAGCTCAGATATCACTAGGTTAATCTATTTGACCTTATCCGTAGATGAAAAGATGAGTCATGGGCTTTGTAACTTTTTTAAATCATTTTCTTCGAAAGTTTAGACATGAAAACTTGGCTAAACATTTTTAATTGGTAATAAAGCTAACCTCGAAATGAGACTGAGGCAATTCAAATGAAAAGGAAGGGAAAAGTAGACTCCGCCATCCCCTCCATATGACCGCTACCTCCCCCTCCAGATGAATGTAGCTGTATCTACCGTAAATTCTCTTTTTAGCCCCCTGGGGGGCTTATTGTTTGTCAGCACTTTAAAAGGGGGCTTATAAGAAAAGGGGGGCTTAATTGAGAGAGGGGCTTGATAAATATATTGTTACAAACAACCATATATAGTGGTAAAACTAGTTTTTTGTTATTTGCCAAATAAAAAACATCAAATCAGCCTTCTATCAATAATATTGTCATCGTCATCGTCATCAATTATTCTAAAATATCTTCTTGGGCCATTTCGCCTTCTGAATTTTTTGTCAAGTTTACTTATTTCAGCATCAGTGGGGGGGGGGGCTAAATTGAGAGATGAAGAATTAAATTTTTCCTTCTCAAAATGGGGGGCTGATAGAAGAGGGGCTTAATTGAGAGGGGGGCTAAAAAGAGAATTTACGGTGTATAACATTGCTTGGCAATGAATCCATCTGGTACTTCAAAAATCAAATTTTGAGTTTTTGATGAACAACACAAGGTAACCTGGCATGAGAGCAGCTAAATAGACCATTTGAGAGCAGCTAAATAGATCACAGATAAACCATTTGAGTCTGCAAGGCTCACAATTAGAGGTGTTGCTGAACCTAGGTTTATATTCGAAGAGCGGTTCCTTCTAGAAATCATGCTTTGGTAATAATTGTTGACTTAACAAAAACAAAACGTCTTTAACCTTTTTTGAATTCGAAAATTGTTGGATTTTTTACAAATATGCAACCGAAATTTATTCTAAGCTTTAAGCACAGAGAAAAAGAAACATCGTTTTTAAAATTCCTTGCCCACGTGCAGACTCATCTTAAGGAAATTAGAACAAATTTCTACTATTTAACGTAGGAGAAATTCTAGTGTCTGCAAGAGGATAAAAATGCCAAGTTTTATCAACTATAGCGCAATAAAACAAAAACACTCAATTCAATGTTTGGTTATAGAAAATATATCTTTTCATTGATTAATTGGATATAATTATTTCTACTCACTTGGTAACAGTAAGCTTTCTTCTGGTCTTTGGGAAATTTCCTATTTCGCGGAACAAAAATCAGCACTGTAAAGTTTTCTAAAAATTTTCTTTTCTATATTTCGTGCCTGTCCAAACAATAAACCAGCAGAAAATATAGCATCTAATATTGGATTGGATTTGAAATACAAAATGAGCTTCTTACTTTTATCACATAATTATCAAAAAGTACAATGATTAAATGCTTGGAGCTAACTATTACTAACCATCGTCAACCACCGATTACCATCGTTTACCATCGTTAACCATCGTTAACAAAACTTTGACAAGTTACACTGCTATGTATTTATTACTGATGGTAGAAAAACAAATTTTATTTGGTCTGATTCAAAGATGCAATTGCATAGTTTCAGGTTTGCTTATGTAAAAAATGGAGAAAAATATCGAAAGATGTATCTCAGAAGTATCTCGAAGAAGAAGTACCTGCTAGTTGAAAAGGCGACGGGGCTCTGCCAATTATCTAAAACATATCGGCATTATGGTTTGTGCTTAGAACCAAAACATGTTTTAAGCATATATCGACATGTTTTAGATAATTGACCTTTACATTATATTTCTTGCAGAAAAACTTTTATCCTGAATTCGTTTTCCAGTCAGTTAATCGGTTTACGAGGGAAATTTATCTAAAGATTTAGCGAGCATTATATATTGAACAAGAATTCATATAAACACAAAGAATAATACACATAAACATGAAACAACACAAAGATTGGGATTTGATGTTTGTATCTGGCCTTAGAGTTAACTTGGAGTATGATACTTTAGTACTGTTTGCACCAAGTAAGCAGTTTTTATTTCCAAACCCTAAACTGCTAAAAGGAATTTCGCAAAAATCTGGATCTATGTTAAGAGCATATTTAATAAAAATATACTTGTTTCCAATACCTGCCCTCACATACTTTCTAATCTCTAATAAACGTTTTAATCAAAGTATTCTATTTTGCTTGTCTAGACAAGTCTTGAAGTTGATCTTTTCTTTTACAAATATAATATTGACATTGGTATAAGATTAAACTAGCATCGATTCTCTATCTAAAAATTGCAAGTATTTTTCATGAAAGCTCAAAGGGCATTTGTCATTTGATTTTATCAAATTTGATAAACTATGATATAAATCATAAGTAATAATTAATCTATAGTACAGTTCTTGTAAGCAGGTGATTGAGCTGCACAATCCCCTTTGTTCAATCTGTCAAATTATCACAGATATTACTTGCAAAAACGTTTTTAACTAATGAAAGTAACATAGCAATATTAATAGACTATCATCAAAGCATAAAACAATTAACATCTGCACTGCAAACTTTTCTAAAAATGGAGGCAACTTGGAAATGGGCATGTTGTATTCGATGCACGAAAAACAAAGAAGCCTTATTTATCATCATCATCATCAGGTACCATCTTCTATGAGAAGGTTGGCTACCATGACCCTCCAACTATCCCAAAGACTGAGTTTTGGTTTGTTGTCATGGTCATAGATAGAACTATTATTATCTCATTTATTGTACGGTCATTAAATAGCCCTGTTTATATTTTTTCACACACCTTTCCATATAGAAATCCTCAATATATGCAGCCTCAAAAATAAAGAACAGTGGTTGCTTGGTGTTTTGAAGAAGTTGTTAGAATCTACTAGTTGATCAAGGGAGTTGAAGTTTAAGTCTCTGCAAACAGGCTCGCTCTGCTTCAATACCATTCTGAAATGATGTAATTTTGCCGTGGGAATGAATGTAGCTTCAGTTAACAATAACATGCAAGGACTTATTTAGCTGATGTCATTATTGGTGAGGGTATAAAAAATACTAATGATTTTAACAAATATACTTATTATCTAAGTCATAGCTTTATCAAACTTAGCTGCTAGCTGGAATAAGATTTTAATTTTCCTAAAAAATAAACATCTAAGTAGGCTTATCTTTATTGTGATTTTTAAACACAATTGTATCTAGCTTAACAGTAGCCATTAATTCAAGACTCCCAGGTTTATAAACGGGAAATATCACAGTATTAAAACAGTCCCATTTATGGCAAAGCGATGATAGAAAGCAGTAGCAGGGAAGTTTCGTTTTGGGAATTCTCTAAAATTTCAATTTATCGACAATTCGAAAGCGTGAACTTTCAGTATTAAGATTTCTCGCTATTTCGTAATTTGGCAGATTTGAAGTTTTTGGTTCTTGTAGGCTCGATTAAAAGCAGGTTGACGGATAGAAAGTAAGGAGTATGGTAGCGATTAATGTTTAAAGAGCGCAGTTTGTATAGGCTACTGTAAAAGCAACCAGGGAGTCGTAGCTACGATATTATCTATAGTTGCCAAATGTCTTCTATTTGATAATTTCTACCTGGGTTCTTCGTCGAAATTTTGATGATGAATGTGTTCTCTCAAAATTGCCAACACGTGGTCCAAGTCTTGGTTGTACACCTGCAATAACATTTTTTTGACTTAGATTAAAAAGGTGAAAAGTGTTTTAAGTTATGGATAAAAAATGGTTAAAGAAATATGTACCAGCATAATATACATAAATAGTAAATCAGAGCTAGGATACAATAGTAGCAAATTAACACAAGTTATTAGAAGTGTATAGCTGCACATATATTGGAGAACATGGAAATGTTGACAAATGAATGGAAAGAAATAACTCCTCTTACCAAAGTGTGACCATAATTATATGTGCTGATGTAATATGTAGACAAACCAGCCTGTGCTAATGGCTCTGCTACCCTTGCGACAACACCGTACGTTTCTGTAACAGATGCAAGTTAACATTATATATTTTTGTGCCAGAAGGTAGAGACGTGGAATGAGGCTTTTCGTTGGATGTGTCATTTTGGACGGGGATGTGCCATCTTATTTAAAACATTTTGACCCATAATTCCGCACATGTCTGAAAAAATGTGACCCATAATTCTGCATGATTCTTCAAATGGTACCCATAGGCCCGCACATACTTCAAAAACAGATACGAATAATTCCTCACTTTTAATAAAAAAGGTCCCCTAAATAATGATACATCCCCATACCTTCGACCATGTTAAGCCACATAATATTTTTCTAGAAAAGCTTCTTTGCTCGAACATGAATATTGGTTGTGGGAAAAGATGCATTTGCTTGAAGATTATTCTACATGTCATTGAGAAAATTTATTCTATAGTATAAGAATTCAACAAGAAAACTGGATACAAAGCCTTTTGCCAAGTCTGTTAGTAAAAGAATTAGCAAGATTTTGAAGGTGGGGCTTTCTCAAAATTATGTTGGAACAGCAGAAGTTGGTTGCAAAAGTAAATCCCTTGCTAATTTTTTTCTCGTAAGACAAGAAAAGAAGACTAGTGAAATTGCAAAATACTCACCAAAATCAAAAGGGGCATCCCCAATTTTGATCATCCGCCAGCAGTCTGTATCGGATGATGTGTGAAGGGCATTCATCGGAAACCTGAAATAAACGATTTGGGTTTTTCATTCAGGTATGTTTGCATAAACTTGATAACACGCCATTTTTTTTCCCCGGTACCTAGCCCATCCTGGCCCTTATCTGAATTCAATTAATCTTTTGATACCATGAGATTTGAGATGTGGGCTCAAGTCAGTGGGCAGAACGTTACATGTTTGCCAACTGTGGCCAGATGCAAAAGTTTTGTCTAATAGACCAGTTGAGTAGACTCTGTTAAGAGAGTAGAAAACCTCCTTTACAAATCATATAAAAGAGTTTGATACATATCCGGGCTGAATGCAGCATGTTTGTATTAGATTTAGATAGAATGGTTGCTAATATTACATATCATAGTAAACCCTTATATGCGATATTTGATAATGCTACACTGGCAATTACCTGCAACTTATTCAATTACTGACTTCTTTGCTTTTTCGAGACTGACAAAAACGAACCTTATCCCCTTAATTTCTCAAAAAATCATATGATCAAAAAGCTAACACAAATTAAAACCACAAAATCTACCTTGAAATAGCATTGTTGTCAAGCACCAAGGAAATGTCCCCCTCAATCATAGATAGGTGGAAGAAGTGTTCTGACTTTGCTTTGCTGAGAAAATAAGAGCTTAGAGTTGAGATGAAGAGAAAAATAACTGGTATATTATTATGTATGTAATAAATGCCTAATTTACTCCTAGTGGCTATGGTTCAAAACTGAGGTTGAGCACAGTTCTGGTGTTCAAAGGTAAACAAGCATGGTAAGAAAATTACCTTGTAAAAAACATCATTTCAAGCAGGACTTGAACTACACTTGGAAAGAAGGCAGAATCTAGGCCAGTTATTTGATAAGTGTCAGGGCTGACAAATGATGTTACCTCAGGTCGCTTCTTTGCTACAAAACAAGCAAAATTGGAAATGGTTTGTGAAAAAAGTGCTACAATTATTTGCTAAAGTATTTCACTTTAAGTTAACTTGGGTAGCCAATAAAATATGAACTCAAAGAGGAAATTTCTTAAATTTTCAACCAAAAAATTCAGAAATTAACACCAAGTAAGCATCAGCAAAGCCGAAAAATTTCAAAATTTTATGACTGAAAAATTTAGGTATAAAAGCTAGATGTATCTTTTTTATTGTAAAATTCATTTGACAGGTAACTAGGGAATGTACACATAAATATATAATATGAATATTGGAAATGCTTTACCACATTCTTGGCCACGTGTTTTGCTTATTGTAGGCTTATTTATTGAGGTCGAGATATGTTCATCATATTCATTATAAACATTGAAGTGGGTGGCTAAGCATTCAACTGCATCCTTTAAAAATGGTTGCTGCACCTGTAAAAAAATTGGTGTAGGGTTTTAAAACTTTTTATCTGTTAGAGAACAAAGATACTTCCAGTAGAATGGATTTTTGTTACTAGATATTTATAGGATCTTTCAATATATCTTGAATCAATTACTCATTACCTAACTTCTTTAGATAGCAGAAGGAAAGTTGAGATCATGCTAAACCTATTTGAGAATCAAGATTCTTGCAGTTGGATGGAAATTTATTGATTGAAATTCCTGGGACCTATTAATTTATTTTAATTAGTTATCAATCATCTAACAACTTAAACTAGCAGCAGAAAAGTTGATGAGATAAATTAACATGAAGTAGAAATTGCAAAAAACTCTCCTGCAATGTAAGAAAGATATTAAAATAACTTCTTGGTTAAAATGATAAAAATGCTGCCATTTCACTATAAAATTGGACGTAGAAAAATCTTCTGGAGGACCTTAGATATCATCATAACATTTAGTTCAGCTCAAGAGACATTTTCAGCTTCATTTGAAGGAAAGTTACAAGCAGCCAGCAAAAATTATCAAATTAAAAGAAGAAATTTGAGAGCTTAAGAAGGCAAATTATTCACAACATGTTTAACATGAAAACTAACATCATTAAAGAATGCAAAGTGAATCATACAAGATTTAAACCTAGTATTCTTTTTTTCATAAGTATCAAGGTTTTAAATTGTCAGCATAATTGATTGATTTACAGATCCCTCAAAAGAATACAACAAAGAGATTGACTTCCTTACCAATATATAGTCAGACTGGTATGTTGACAATACCAGAACAGGGATTTCTTGGTCTGCAAGAGGACAAATGACAGCCTGTGCAATTTTGCTAATGCCAGCAAGCTCTGTGGCTCCCATTTCTCCAACTGAAACTGTCAAAGCTCTCCAAGGATCTGGTGATTTTCGCAGTTTTTCACATTTTGGTAGTTCTAGAAAGCAAATAGAAAATATTATAGATACTCTATACTGGATTTTTAAAAACAAATGGAGCAGTCTAACAATCAGATATGTTCTCTGTGTAGTTTAGGTCAAGATAAGGGACTGGAGATTGATTAAGAAGGTAATATATTGCATCATAGTCTGATGAACAGAAGACAATACTGGAGCCATTTAAGGGATAGGCAAAAGATGGGAGATTATTTTTTTTGAAAAGCAAATTAATACAGAAATATTTTTGTAGAGAAAATGTTAGGAATGCTGGCTAAATAAAAAGAGAAACTGTAAGTAACATGCAATTACCTTCAAAATGTTCTCTTGTTACAATTATGGTATAGTCCTCTGATGTCTCTGTGAAGCTGAAGAATTCGGGACTGTGAACATGGAATAAAACAAAATCAATGGGAGCAAGAAAACAAGCAGATAAAACAAAATTAAAACAAAGGAAGATTAACCACACTTCTTTACAGTGTTACAGATTATAAAGTCTTAACAGAAGATAAGGAAGTTTTTCTGTGGTTAAAAAGAGGCTTGAAAATTTGGCCAAGAGAGCTAACTTTAGCACCTAAAGCAGAATTCAGTTTTCACATTGACCACAAAAAGATCATTATTATTATCTGCCACTGATCAAGACAACCAATGGTTCATTCAACACTTTATTTACATTTTTCTCAAAATTTTTCATACTGGATTGCACAATAAATTGTTCACAACAGATTATCAAGCTCTTTTTAAACATAAAGGGAAATAAAATTAAGATCTTCTAATATATTTCTCCTCTTTAACATAATCTTATTCAGGTTACATTGCCAGGAAACATTGCATTCTGCATAATTTTAGCATTTCATGAAAACAAAACAACTAGAAATTTGAGATGCATGATGGATCAGATTTCAAATGAAGGAGAAAATGACACATCAACAAAATGCTCGCCTTAGAAGAAAATACTTCGTGAAAAGGTCAAGGTCATGACGATTGAACATATCTACACCAAATACATTTGAGCAAACACATATGCTTGAGATGATAATATGAATGGTTTGCATACAGAACTTTGATAAGATACTGAACAAAAACTATTGCCTCAAACTTACCTTGAATCAGGAAGAAATGCAATTTTTATCAATGAATGGGTTAGTTCTTTAATGGCATGCTTAGAGATGGTGCAAACATCAAGAAGGTGCTCCAAATATGAACTTCAATTGGAGATTTTGATGAGATGTTTTCTACTGAACAACATCCCCAGTTTGCACCTTGATCTTCTATCAAGAATGGTTCATTCATATCTCTTCCTCTCTCCTTTCCAACCAGAAGAATGACTATAGACAGCTACTCTTAGCTCACAGTCTGAAAAACAAAAGATAAATTGCAAACAGACTATTCAGAGCATAGTCAACAATTTGGTAATCCCTTGTCAGTCAACATATATTTTCAAGCATTCTAAGAACTAAAACATAGAAACTTCAAAGTTTAATTTAAGACTAAAAACTTTTAAAGTGCACCTCTAATGAAGTTTCTGTAATTAAAATGAATTTTTTAATGAAAGGTTCCCTTAACTTGCAGAGAGTGTGCCCACATTAGTCTCTCAAAATTCTTGGAAAGGGTTTGTTAACATGTTTTTTGGAAAGAAGATGAATGGTAAAGAGGTTTTTTGCATAAATACATATGTACAGGTCAGGAACTAATGAATTGATATCATGTTTTTTGGTGGAACATCTCTGCAGACCTGTATCACAAATACAACAAGCCCTGTGATTGTAACACAGACAATAAATGCACATCTGAGAACCTCTTTGCATGCGTGGTACATTGAGAGATAGGCATCTTTTCCACTGCGGTCTGCACAAATATGTACGTCAGTGCCCCACTACTTGTAAGTACTTTTTGCTTTTGTTATTGAACTCAGAATATTTTAAAACATGAGATTTTACGTTCGTTTTACAAAATTTGAATGCAAATCATTTGGGCATTCTCCAGTTAACCACGACACGTGTGCCTCTTCGTCATAACTGCTCCATAAGTGCCCAACTGCATGTTTTCAAATTCAGCATCATAAAATCTTGCTCGATCAAGTAAATATTTTTGGTATTTCTAAACATATTTGTATGGAAGTATCCGGCTACCAACCAATTACAGAATTATTTTTTTTAGTTTTGCTTGACCTTTGTACAATTATCGTGTCCTTTTGGCCTTTCTTTTGTAATTAATTCATTAGCACAACAATAAGTTCAACGCGCGATACTGAATAATAATGCATCATTTGTATTTATGTTTCAATGATAGACTTACTAAGTTTGTAAAAAATAAATAATAATTACCTTTCAGTTGATCATTGGGTGAAAATGTGACCACATCGTAAGAAAGTCACAAAATATATATTAAAGCCCCTACTTACGTGTCGGGTTGATGGTTGGTTGCCAGGTAATGAGAAGAGAAAACGTGACGATGTGTCGCATTAACTTAAACTGTAGTCATAATTTAATAAAAAGTAATGCGAAATGCTTACCGAATATGTATAATAGAAGGAACTTGAGTCTCTGGAGTCACTGCAGAGAACAATACTAATACCGTTGTAGCATTTATATTTAGGTCGGAAACTTCTTTTCCTGTTCAGCTTTCTTCATCTGAGCCAGTAGCGTAATATGTCTTCATTCAGGTCCATCCTTTACGCCAAATTGATATGCTCTAACTGTGAGAGACTTACACAAACGAAGCAGTTAACTCCAGTTAAATTTTCTACAAAAGTTCAGCTCTGTCTGAAACGTCTGATCTTTGCTGTGCAAACTTTCAGAATAAAATATCCTGCGCAGGGGCCCTTTTCATGCTGCACAATTTTGCAATGGGGAATGACAGAGAACAAAGGGGTGCGGATGTCTTGATCAGGTGATCTCAAGCAATGGGGACTTCCCCGTTCAGGACAATGAAAGGATGCAAAACAATGTAGCTTTTTATGGGGGATGGCCTTTGACAGTAAGCTTTTGACTGGACCATACCATGCATCAACTATCCTAGGTATAGAATATAAACTTGCTATTTACAATTTTAATTATCAAGTTGTAGAATAATCAATGTTGAAATATAGATAATACCACCGTTGAAAAGGATTTGAGTTACTGGGCTACATTATTGAAACTATTTTCCATTTAGCCTTGTTTCCACTGGGCGATTATCGCGATAAAGCCTGGTTTTCACTGGGCGATTATCACGATTATCACGATAAAAGCGAAAATTCTGTTAAAGTTGTCACCTTTATTGCGATAATCGCCCAGTGGAAACCAGACTTTTTAATTTACTAAACGCACTAGTACACCGTGATAACACCAGAATCTAAAAAACTGACGCAGTGGAATCATAAATAAAGAGAATGAACGGATACAAAATTGGCTAATTTACAGATCTATTAATAGACAACCAATCATGAAAGTATTTTGATTTATCACGAGACATTCCATACAATTATGCTCTTGGATATAGCTCAATGCCAATTCAAATAAAATAGAATTATAAATTATTTTTAAAAAAAGCTGGGATGCCCTGTACGTCCGTTGATGCCCTGTGATCTTAAAATTCAGTGTTAAGGTATAAAAGAATTCAATTAGAATTATATAGGATAGTCAAATTTCTAAGCAAATGTTTCCTTGACATCCAACACTTTTTTGAAATTCCGTTTTGGCAAAGGGGAATTCATTTTCGGAACACAGTTTACACATTCAAAGAAACAAATCTATTTTTAAACATGCTCTTACATCATATTTAAGATGGCTTTACTCACATCTCATATCTACCTTAATTAGACAAACGTTAAGCGTCCGTCACTCTCCAAAATATCTCGTTAACATTTACACAAGTATCACATTTTCTCAGAAATAGTTGAGGCTATTTTGTTCTGGTTCCAAAAAGAAAAGTTTCTTTAGAAAACTGAGTCATTTTTCACCATTCGATTTAGTGAAAGACTTTGAAGCTAAATCTTTAAAGAAGTGGTTGTTCCACGAAACCAAACGGAAGCCAAGTCGCCACACGTAAAATGTTTATACGTGTGTTTGCAAGGAAACAGTTGGAATTTGGACATCAAGAAAACGTCATTTCTTTCACTTTCAGTTTTGTTATTCTTGCACTGAACAAGCAAAAACTTTGGCTAACCACTTAGACTCAAGTTTAAAGATATAAAAAACGGTTTTGAGAACATTTAGGTTAATGAAACAACTGTTTTGTTCTAAGAAAATGCCAATGAAGATCGACGTAAAACCCTTAGCACTACAACACCCAAGTAAAAATTATGTTTTTCACTATGTTCGTTGCAACACGTCTTTTTCTGGTGAAACCAATTGTTCACATAACCTTATAACCTAATATAGGACGTAAAAACAATATGCAAACACTGCATATCAATATTGAATATTGTTTAATGAAGCCATTTAAATCTGTAAGGAATCGCTGTGTCATGTATGACGAAAATTGGTCACAAAGGTCACATGGAAACACTCAATGCTACTTGTATATCTTTCGCAAAGCTAGAGAAATTCTTCAAAAAGAAAGTGCTGCAAAATCCACTCATGCTGCTGTTATATTTAGATTGTAATGTTATATTATAATTAGATTGTATATTTAGATTGTATTGTAATGATTCTGTTGGTTAGTATGCCAATATATAGTAAAATAAGTTTCAAATTGTTCAGAATCCTGCAGACAGGAGTTTCACTCCATTGTGTACAGGTATCAGGATTTAGATGCTAAATGAAAAATGCATACCGTATTTACTCTAATGAACGCTGCCCTCTGATAAACGCTGCCCTCTGTTGAACGCCGCATCCAAAATTTGGAGTTCGTAATAAACGCCGCGGCGTTCTTTAGAGGAAATATGGTACATAATTTAACCCACAGTCACTTGCTGAATTAGACACTCTTTACAAGGCAATATGACTGGACAGAGTGGCTGGGGAAGATAAAGTCGGTTGACTTCTCGCAATCATCCGTCGTCAAAGATAGCCATGCACATTGCGGGCAACAAATTTCTAGGCATTTTTTAATACAATTCAAAACCTGTTTTACTTTGATTTTACGTAGAGATAAATGGCACAATATAACTGTATTTTGAGATCATGATTTTTCAATATTTTACTCTGTAGTTTTTTCGGATTGAAGTCTTTGCGGAATGGCTAACATCGACCATGAGGTTTGCAGAGCTGCGCCTACAAACGAGCTGCGCCATCAAGCAAGCATATGCGGAAACGTTTCCCATGATGCATTACCGTCACATCTATTAGATGACTCCAACATATACATAAAAATTCCAAGGTTTTTGTTTTTGTGTGACAAAAATTAACGAGATACTAAAGAATCAAGACCACGCTAGGTGATATATCTAATAAAGTCAAATACGGTGTTCATTTAACGTGGTTAATTAAAACAACAATTCAGCACAACACAACAGAAACAATTATCCCTTTCTGCCTTTTTTTGTTTCTGTATTCACAAAACAGAGATTTGGCTACCACTTGAAGTTATTTCTGCAAAGACAATTATGTTCTAAGACGCAAGCAGGGAATTATTTTTATCCTCAGTCACTCAATCGGAAATGGTTTGAACCTGTTTTCGTTGTTTATCTACAGAGTCTCCAATTTTCACGCACCAGCTTCGCAAAATCATACAATATAATGTTATTCTGAACCCTTTACTCACTGAAAATGGTTTGTGGGATTTGAAAAACAGATAACTTGGCCATCGTTCATAACAGTGTAAACAGGGTTATCACTACTAATATTCTATTATTATTGATACCATCAGCATGCAGTGACGTAACCAAGTTAAAGGAAAATAAGTTTGACAACTAAGGGTCCCGGACATAAGGGACCCGAAAAGTTCTTGAAACAGATTCTTTCGAGGCTGCTTTAAAATCCAACCTCGATTATCAAACACAGGAAATCATGGACGAAGAGCCTTGATCCACTTTGAAAGTTCTTGGCGAAACTGTGCCCAGTCACCTATGCCAGATTCAGCGACATTGTATGCTGGCAGTGCAGGGTCCCTTACCAATGGCAGGTTCTTGAAATTCATTTCATACTTTTTCGGGTCATAGAACTCATCCCATTCCAATCTGCAAAATTTACGAAAGAAGTTTTCTAAATCATAAAATAAACTTAAATAATCTTTTTGAGACAATAAACAATACGATAACAGCATAAACAAGTCCTATATTGCGCGTCGTTGTTACGAAGGAAACTCTTTTAAAGCGCTTGCAAAATACTATGTTTTCTACTTTAATCAAACACGTACATAAAACAGACTTTGATGTAACAACCTTTTGTCTTGGTTCTTGTTTTTCTAAATTCATCTTAATTTCCTTAGTCAGGAGTTATCTAATCCAATTTTGTACAATCCAAAATGCTTTGATCTGCTTATACGATTTTGACTGTGCAACAAAGTGTTGAATGGACAGACACATTTCACCAAAAACCAAAAGTAATGCACCCACGTCAAAAGTAAATCTTATTCAAAAAATAGTTTATATTTACTTTTATCATGAAAGGTACCACAATCAGTTGACTTGTCATTAGGAGAATAAAGGCAACAAGCAATATGTACTCAAGAAGACAAATACCTAGCTGCAGAGTGACGTATATAATGACAACTACTGTTTACTGGTCTGTCATAAAGTGCTCAATTTACGTATATACATACGTTTACATACCTACGTACATACATACGTATGAACGTAATGAAAATTTCTGTTTACCGGTTTACCTGTCTGTGGTAAAGCGCTCGATACCGTGCAGGCAGAGCTGTACGCCCTATTTGGTGTATAAGACCGAGGGGCAATTCACTCCTGCAAATAGCGTACGAGATTTTCCCAAAAACAAAAGGATTTCTGGGGATTTTCAGCTAGAACAATAGGATTTTCACAAAAGCTGTACGAGTTTTTGTAGAGTGATTTGCCCCTCGTATAAGACATGACGGTTCTAAGCTGCTACCCCAAGTTTCATGCTTAATGAGATCAACAGTTGCAATAACAGTTCTGGAGAAGTTGCATGATAATCGCAATCAGCGTTAAACTTGGAGTAGCAATTTAGAACCGTCCTATCTTATACAACAAATAGGAGCTATAAACGTAAGTATTACCTAGGACTATCGAAAAATTTGACACATCAAGCCTTTGGTTAAGTTAAACTTTAAGCAAAATTGGAACTAATTTGTGTGCCAAGATAACAAAAACAAAGCTAAATCAAATGCAAAGCAAAAATAAATTCATTTATATAATCATCTAATTCATCAATAATTACATTCCAATAGAGATTAATTGTATACTTACATAAGATCATTTTCGTTGCTTAAAATGCCAATCTCATGTATAACTTCTTTGAAGAAAGATGGTGTTTTGGAAATGCTTGTCCTAGGAAAAACCTGATGTCAGCATTTGCATATGTACAGACAGACGAGAAAGGGTTGAAGAAATGTAAACAAATGAAGGTGAAACGTATCGATTGTTTTTCTTCATATTTTGTCTTGTCGGATGAAGTGCATATCATCGAAAGATTCAGATAGAAATTCAAAATGATTATATGTAACATTCAGTGATTGAGGTTAAAAAGCCTTTTTTCCCGTGTTCTGAATTGAATTAGACAATTTATTTATCCCTTATTTCTGTAGCAATACTTTTAACTTCCGCAAAAAATGATTACCCAAGACAGGGAAGATAATAACAGGCTACGCTCGAAACGCATTTATTTCAAATTTGCTTATTTTCCTCTTACAATTTCAAGTTATTTCAAAGTTATATTGTTAGATTATATTCACAAGCCAGTATATTCAGGGAAGATAAAGCTAAGAAAACTGAAGTCTATATCGGGCAAAATATACAACCATGTGTCAAGATCTAGTTTTACGCCGTTTTCTAATTTTCTTGAGCGTAGTATCTAGTTTATGTATAAAGTATTCAATGATGTAAAACCCTCTTGAAGGAGCACTATGCTTTTCGGTTGTCTTATAGCCAAAGAAAATTATTCGAATAAGATGGGGAACTCAGCTTATGCCAAATTTAAAACCTATAGAGCTAGAAGCAAACAAAATTTCTTGAAAGCTTATTTTAGATAATATGAAGATTTTTCTGCCACTATGGAAAGTCATAACTGGAAAGGGATCAAATAAAGCCTGGTAAGTATGTGATGGTTTTTAATCCAATGTCTACTGAAATTTCAATAGAAGCTTTTTTTTCAAAACGGGATAATTTACAAATCTTACTTTAGTTACACTCTGTAATTTGCAACGCTACTGTCTTGTAAAGAGTCAAATGTGGGCTATTTCAATAGGGGATCTCCGATTGCTTTTGTTGTTACGATACCATACAGAGGAAGGGAACAACCGAAGTTGCCAATCAGAAACATGGGCCAAGAATAGGTGCTTGCTGCGACAACGAAGCGTCTAAATGACAGTAGTGTTGCCGCTCCCTTCCCCTTAATCAACTTTCACCATCGTCAACTTAACCATTTCAAAGAAAAAAAAGCAAGGCTTGATATCTGGCGACGTGGTAGGTTCTCCACAAATGACACTTAAATCTGACCCCATAGGGACCCTTATTAAAGTATTTGGTCATGTCTGAGAGCACGATTTTGGGTGTCTGATTTTAGTTGTGACAGTGATTCTGTTCTATACACGTGCTTCAATATTTGTATTGACCTATTAATATGACAAAAACCCTTATGCAAGAAGAAGATAAAAGCAAAGGACTACAAAATGACTTTCTACTTCTTACAGCATTGCAGAATACAGTCATGATCTGAGATCTTTCGCAAGTAACTAAGATACAAATTAAGAAATAAACAAACGAGCAAACACGCACCTTTGAAGCGTGGTGTATGCTTGGACTGTTAGTAAAGACAAGAGGTATGAGGAGGGTCGTTTCTGTGGTGTTTTCCACTTGATTTTGTCTCTCCACGACTTTACAGCGCGTATCAGGTCTCGACACTGCAATGGAGGCAATAAAAATAGGAAAAACTTTATAATTCGTTTGAAGATGCTACTGATAGAGCTATAGAGATCTTAAATGATGACGCCACAAATGTCTATCTTTAGAATTTTCGCCTTTGAATCTCCTATCTTGAAAGAGCATCATGAAATACTTTTAAATACTAAACTTTTAAAATCAGTTATATGTATTACGAATTGGCTGAGATGTGGCCATATCAGCATAGGTTCTTTCCCCATCAAACCTTTGTTACTGGGTAAACTTTCATATATTTATGAACAAAGCAAAATAAAAGTAATCCGTTTGCAAAATTCAAATCTTTAATTGGCTATGTTGACTGCTTTCGCGTATTTAGAAGTTTTTCGTTGTATTCTTTTAGGTTATATGGTCAAAATTCAAAAGTTATAAAAACATATTTTTTTATGACGTCACATTTAAGAATTCTAAGAACTTGATGAATATCATAATAGTTATTAAGTATATAATTATTGAAACAAAAATTTTACATAAAGTTTGCATTACAGGGTTGGCTTGAAGAGAATGAACACATAATAGAATTCTCAAAATAGAATAACCTCTGAAAAACTCATAAAATTCCACAGAAAAATCATGATGTTAATCTTTCTTTGTTAAACATGGATTATAGATAAACAGAGACTGAAAACAAAAGAGTTAGTGTGAAACTACAACATTTATATCTGAGATCGATTTCAAATTATTAAGTAAATTTAAAATATCACAAGCTTTTAACCTGATTGTAAAAATCTTACCTGTTCATCTTGATTTCGTATAAAAGAAGATCTTATTTTTGAAGTTGCAGTTACGAAACTACGAAAGAAGACGTTGAATTATTGACTTATTAAAACCTTTTAAATGAAATTTTATATATCTTGCTTTGAAATGCATTTATTCCAGATAGGAAATGCAGTGGCTCTACATTTTTTCCATATTAACGCATATTTCTAAAAACAAGGTTAATTACCAAATCTTCATTTCAGAGCAGATATTGTTATTGTTAGACCCAACTACATTGGAGAAGGAACACAGGTAGTTTTGTAATCTTGAGTCTATAAATTTTTCACATAAATATATTCTGTATGATACTCAAAACTTTTTTGTCATGTTTGTAAAACTTGGAAAATTGTCCTTTTCAAAGTAAGAGCATGCCCACAGGTGCTCGACACATTCCTCACGTTCCCCACACCTTCTACAGAAAGCATTTTCATTGTTTCTCTAAAGTTTGCCTTTAAATGTTCCATATTGCATTATTCCAAAAGAGCAAATCTTCGTCAATAATAAGACGAATTGAAGCGAATTCTAGAACTGATTTATTCAGACAAGTAATCTTATTATAATTGTTTTTGGGATAAAGTTTGAACATGTAGAAAAGCCTTGGCAGTGCATTCAGTATACAGAATAAGAGTTACTACTGCATAGTTTGCTGAAATTGGGAGCTGGGACTCTTGAAAAAACTGGACTATGAATCTAACCTACTGACGATTGCCGAAGTTCAAAATTCTACAAAACCATTTATCATCTCACAGTTGCTTTGGAAATCTGTATGGGCAAATGCACGATGAGTTATTGGCTTGAGTATCATGTTATATTTCTTTACAATTTTACAAGACAGTTTTAAATGACAGTCTATTCAAGGATTATTTAAATTGCAGGACTCTTATCAGTTGACATTAATAGAAATCGCTGTCTGGGGTCCGCTGAAAATTGTGTCTGATATCAGATATACAATAGCATAAAGTCTAAGGGATATAAAAAGACCAGCCAGTCAGTATCATACGATATCTATCTGAGGTTTAAGCCAATCAAAAGCATCTTGTTGTATTTAGAAACGAGGACGTGCAAAAGTACAGTATCTAAGAAGAGCTTTGCGTATGACTTTTGACTTTTGCTGTCTGTAACCCCAAATAAAGGCTAGAAACAAATTTCCTGGACATACCATCCTAAAGATTCCTTTGTTAGGCCGATAGATGCTTCGTAGATTGCACTATAAGAGTCGAGTCCCCAGTTTTTTGTAGGGTAAATAACAATGCTGACATCAGAGTATCTACATTTCAGTGATATTGGTGTATGCATGAATGAAGTAAACTGCTTTTCTGTGCCTTGACTGTTGCCGGTATTGTTGTTATTGCTGTCCTCTTTGCTACTCGTATGATTTCCACCGTTAGTGACGCTTGTCGGCTCCTGCAAGCGTTTTTGGATGAACTCTAGGCAAGGGTTCAGATCACCATTGTTCAATGAATCCTCCAGTTCACCTTGACAAAAAAGTTATATCAAGATAATATATTGGTATTAGTGTTAGAACACTCTTGATTTCGTCACTACAGCCCTCAATGCCAATAACAACACTCTTATACAGTAATAGCCCACTTATATAAAAAATAGCGTACAAGAACCTGAATGCTGACTAATTCAAAGTTGTATACGAAGAAACTGTTGAGCCTGAATTAAGTTTCTTGCCAGTAGTTATTTCGAACGTAAAATAAATCAAAAAATGAGATGAAGTTTCCCAACTACTAGCTTTCAACTTATTGAATTCAAAACACTGTCTTGTAAAAACACATTACTTTCTGCCAAATTGTTTAACTGTCCTTACTTTCCAGGCTTACTTCATCGCAAAAGGAATTAATTTCTTTAAAGAAATTCATCAGCGTTTATAAACATTCATTTATTTAACAAGAAACTTTACGGTCTGATCCAAAAAATGAGCTTCCTATGTGCAGGTTTATACTGCAATTGAAACAGTCAATTGAGACCTTTCCAGTGTTGCCTGTTCTTCCCAGTGGTTCGGAAGCAAAGTTCAAAATATGAGCAATGGTTTGGCCAAACAGATAAAGAAACAGTCTTTGTTGCAGTCTATTGACGTCTCTGTATTTTGAAATGAAGGAACAGTATGCTTGCTAGAACTCTTCTTATCATTTTAACATGTTTATGAGAAGAACCTTTAGATTCAATTGAATAAACTCCCAGGTATTTTTAAGATTTGCATTCTTGCACTTCCCTTTCACTTAAGAACCATTTGTAATTGTTTGATGTTTTCTATTGTTTTTTCTGAAACACGATTATTTAAAGCTAATAATAATGACATTCATATTTTTTGTATCATTTAGTTTATCAAGCTGAATTTGGAGATATTCCGAAGTTTCAGCTAAAAGTACTGAATCATAGTTTCAGCTAAAAGCCTGTAACAGCGTGTACGAAATCCGCTTCAAGACTGGTTCATTTCGCTTTTGAACTGATGGCTACATTTAAAACGTTAATAATAATGAAAAACCAAATGAAATCTTATATATATAAAATGTGCCCATCAGCGCACGAACCTTTTAAAAATACAACGATATCAAGTTCCATCTTATGTCTAGTCACTGTTCCTTCACCATATGCACCAACTGGGATCACAGAAGCGACATTTTTGGAGCTCTGGAGAAGAAAATTCTAAATTAATTTTTACCATGATCACTTATAGAAGAGATCAAGAGCATATGTACTATAAGACTTGAAAATAAAAGCAAAAAATGGAACGAAAAATATATAAAAAAAACACGTAGATGATGAGGGCAGAGAAAATTAATCAGCAGATTGGAACTAGGTGAGGGCAGGACTTGGCAGAAATAATTGAAGGAAGAAATCTCATAAAATGTCTCTCTAGTGAATATCTATCCACACATCTTTAGTAAATTTATCAGAAAAATGCCTATAAAAAATGTAGAGGAAAGTGTATAGATTTGTACATAAAGTGATTAAGATATATCAACCTCCACCCTACCCTTCGCGAAAGGTTTTGTTCATATATCTATGCAATGGACTATTATATTGGAATGAAATAGAATTCTGATTTGTAATCCTGCTTAACATTTATAAGACGGCAGATATCATGGTAATTCATTTGAGTGTCAAGGCCAGGGGCGTAGCAAGCGGAGAGCTGTAGGTGTTGGGACACCCCCAATTCTTCATAATTTGTCGATAAACCTTCAGTTGGTCCAAAAACTGTCGTTAAAATCGTCTATCAGTAGGTGAAATAGTACTTAAATTTCTCCTTGTCTATGTCTTTTTCGGTACATTTTACTATTGATGACCCTCCAACCCCTCGTCTGGAAGGTCACACTAAGTCACTGGCACCTAAACCTAGGCGGAGCAAAATACTTCATCACCAAGAATTCAATTTTCATCTTTATGCAGATAAATCGTTTTGACTGAAATTCCTCTAGATCTATTGACTGACAGTGGCTGGAAAATCAAAGCCAGGCCAGGGTATAGCCTACCGTAAGAAACGGGTATTGAGACAAGTTTAACGACTAGTTGGGTTCTAACAAAGTACTGATTACATAGAGGAGAAAATCTAACGAGGAAGAAATATGCGAAGGGAAAATTGAGCGAACCGAGATGTCTTTCAATTGCTTACCTTTAGAGTTTCTTTAACCCAATTGAAAATATCATTCATTTCACTAATCTTTCTCGCATCGGGCTTGGATTTTTCAATGAGCTTTGCTATACTTGTTTTGTTGAACTTGGCGATATCCTTTAGAAAAAAATGGCTAAGTGAATTTTGATATTTGTCAAAATCAGTCCTACAAACAACAATAATACTGGTATAGCGTTTTTTAAAAAGCTTGATAACAGAAAACAAGGTTTAAATAAATACAGCATTAATGAAATGGCATGTAAAGCCCCTTAACTGATGAAGTGTTATGCACGAAACGTTTTATCATAATATACAAAGCAATACATTATCTATTGTAACCGTCTTAGTATAAAGTCAAGGCTGTCCGTACGCTGGGGCGTGTGATTCGTCACATCAAATCCCGCCGGTTGATGTGACAAATTTGCAGACTTGTTGGCGAATAAAGGATGGCTAAGTCACTTTGTCGTCAAATGGGACCTGAACACCCTATCTTGAGCTCAAAAGCTAGCGACGGTCTATCTTGAGCTCTTGTGTATAGTTATAGCCCCACGTACAATCAACGTATATATATCCACTACTTTTAAAAATCTTCCGTGAGTTTTGCAGCTATCCCTAAAAATCATTAAGGGAAGATCCCTGATTTCATTAAGCCAGCAAAACAGTGTTTAAATCATCGATGAATGCTTAGACATCGATGTTCAGCTTCCCACCACTAAGCTTTCTACAATCAGCTAAGCATTGCAAATATGGGATTCTGCAGGAGGAATGGTCTCAAAAATCTCCACCCGTTGTTATGTAACCCCTACTAAGTGCTTACTATCATACATTGATTTTGTATTAAACTTTATCATAGCTGTGTGTGCTACATTGGAAAACAATATCACCAAACACAAGGTATGTGTCAAGTAATAACGAAACGACCGCTTAGTGAGATCTCTTAAAAACACCATAACCAAAATATTAATAGAAGCACCTAAAAGCAATTCGCAAAACCAAAATGCGATAAGGTTAATTCACATTGCAGCTGGTACAAGAATTAATTATAAAGTGGCATGGACAAGACAATGTCTTTTAAATCTTTAGTATTTCTTCATTTCGGTTCTTACCGAAAACCTTTCCTTGGCCAAATTTCTTTTCTCTATTTGCAAAATGTTTTGAAAATCAATGTTTTTTTATTTCGTTCTCACAAAGCATTGCAACGGTGGGTAGTGCAGGCATGTTTATATTGAAATTCGATTAACTTCGATTGGAATAGTTGGTTGGGTTTTGCCCTTTTCATTGCCGATCCTGTGTACCCTTAAGACTGCCAAAAGGGACAAAAAAGCAGTGTTATTCCAGGATTATCGAACAGTTCAAAACCTCTTGAACTTTGTGATAGCTTTTCTAACCCCAACTACCATGTTACCCCCCCCCCTCACTACTATGTTAAAGGGCCTCTCCAGCTTATTGCACTTGCATTTTATTGGCTAATCTAAAGGAGTTGAACCTGCTGATCACGATTGTTTTTCGATATTTTTTTACAGTTTGTGAGATATAAGCTCTTGCATTTCGATAATTGAATTGAATTAACCGACAAAAAGTTTTCGGTTTGGTGACACTGTGACGCAATTTTGACGTCATTGTGCATTTTGTTAGTCTCGCCTTATACCGAATCGAACGTCGGCGATTCGCAAATTGAGCACTGCAAGTGATGGTAATCTCAGTTCTGTTCCACCGGCATTTAGTTTGAGCATTCCAGAAATCAATTCTGAAGCCTTTAGTTGTTCATCGTTTCTGGAGAACAACTGAAGTGTCAATTTCGATTAATTATACGCGAGGGAAGAGCTGGAACAGGAAGCCGTAGCTTTGTGGGCCTACACAGGTGATCAAAACAAAGTCGTGACACAGCATGGACACATTCCGACCCGCAAACTTAGAATGATTGTAAACATTTAATATTTTTCGATCCAAAAAAGCTCCTGCTGTAGATTTAGATGCAGTTATCAATGGCTAACGAGTGCCGCACACTGTGACGTCAGAATGTCATCAAACTGATTCGGCTTTTGTCGTTTTTTCTCTCGGAAAGGTGCAACTTTAAAGCCTTATAACTTCTAAACTAATTTGAATTTTGCAAAAACAACGACTTTGCCATAATACACGCACAAGATGCTAACTTTCTAGTCAATAAAATGTTTTTTGGCTGGAGAGGCCCTTTAAACATAAACCTTCTATTGATAAACACAATCGAAACTCGTTAGGTATAATCATATTCACGTCATGCTTAAGCAAACCCAAACTAAACGAACTTTCACATTGAAAATCAGCCTTTCTCAACAAACATCGAAGACATCAATATGTGAATAAGGCACAAAATAGCTGGAAGATTCAATTATTAATTCGTTTTCTTTACTCGTGCAAGAATTGCTTCAATAACTTCAGCAAAACAAGAAACCTCAATTACAGGGTTTATTTCAGCAGTAACCATAAATTATTGATGCTACTTAAGCAGCTTGCATACTATTATGTACAAAATCTTTTCATTATCTAATCATAAGTATAAAGTCTGCATCTCTCTCATTGTCTGATAAAGACCTCCTCTTTGCTTTGAATTTTCAAATCACTCAAGAAATTATTACAAAACTATTACGGAAGGTTAAGTCGTACCACGAAGACTTTGCTTTTCTTAAAAAATCCTTTTGCCCATTTCGGGCAGTCTTCAAGGAGCCACAGTCATACAAAGACAGTGATCTGTTAATTCCCTAAAGATCTGAAACCTTTCAAAAACTATGCAAAAGGCGTGGTTATATATACAGGGGTATTTCAGTCTCGTTTGCATACATCGGTGATCGTCGCCACTACAGTCAAGGAAGGCTCTAAAAGCCAGAATATCGAAAACCATCGGCCACCATACACTCTTTTTTTATAAGAACAATTTCATAAGAACACGAGCCTCAAAACTGGTCAAAAGTTAAGAACAAATTAAGAACAAGCTGAGGCTGAACTTCTGCCAAATGCAATTTTGAACAACGTTTTTTCTCAAAATCGAGGATTTTTAGCGATGTGTGGGTGCTTTTTCGGCGAATATTCAAATTTGTCAGCAAATTAAAGCTGTCTCACTCACTTTGTTGGCAAATGAGGCTTGAACACCTCCTAAGAGCGAAAAAGCTAGCAATAGCACTGCTTACACCCTCTTAATTTAAGAACAAATTAAGAACAATCCAGCCTCAGATTTTCGAAAAAATTAAGAACATTCAGCCTGAACTTAAATTTACTAGTTCTTATAAAAAAGAGTGTACCTGGTTATCGAAAAGAGGTACATTTTTACTTTACCGACGTTTCCCGAGGATCAAAAGCAAAAAAAATGTTCTTCAACTAATCGGAGTAACCTGTTTCAAGGGACCGAATTAGCGTATTGGGGTTGTATCCAAAAACAAAAGTGCTTGATAAGTTTTGAACAAGGCTACAAAACGTTAGCTATGTGGGAAATTAAAGGATGCCAAAATATGTTTTCCAAAGAGCACCGGACTGCCAGTTGTGCCACTGTCCTCAAGGATATCCTTGACCGGACATATTCACATAATTTGGTTCAACAGCAACAAACCTTTCTGCGAAAAAAAATAAAAAATTTACAATCAATTGTTATAGCATTACCTCGAGAGAATTACTCTCCAGACTGTGAACATATCCTTCAACAACCGTCAGCTTTTCTTGCAGAGAGCTGATCATCACGTCTTTGTCTTTCAGGGCAGTTTCTTGTTGATCTAATGCTTCTCTGCTGTTGTTTAAAATCTCCTCTTTTTCCTCTTCCAGGTTTGATAAACTCATTTTCCTGTTAAAAAGACAATTTTTCTGCAAAATTCAAATTTTGACAGTTCACCATAAAAAGAAAACCTTTAGAATAATCCAAATAGTTTAATGTTTATGCAAGTTTGTATAAACAGAACTGAAACTTGTTGACTTTTAACCACTATTAACTGAAAAAAATAATGTTGCCTAAAAAATACCAAATCTCGAGATATAGTACACTGAAAAGCTATGACGCCTAAATTTTTCTTTTTTGGTCTAATGCCAAACAGAAAAAAACTTTTGTTAAATAACTACGAAGATATCACCAAAAATTGGTTTGGCAAATGCGTCTTGGGATTTACTATTTTGTTTTGAAATATTATTTCGTCTTGGTTAAAGCAGACAAATATCAGTGTCCTAAAACTCTTAAGCATTAGAGAGTATTTACCAAATTTAACGATATATATATATGTCAACAGTTATTTCTCTTCCCTAGTGTGCTGTTTCATAGCTCTAAATTTTTCCTCAGAAAAACTATGTCAAAAAACATAATGCATTGTAACTCGTTTAGAAAATTAAAATTAGGTTTTCGTTATCCCAATTTATGGTAGCAGAAAACTGGCACATATTCAGCCATGTTACAGTAACTGTGCTACTAAATATTTTGAAAATAAGGGACCTACCAAATCTGCTCTCTAATTTCGTAATCCCTCTTTGTCTCGTTTGAAATATTGTTATGATAAAAAGCAATGGCTGCTACGTCATCAACAGTCATGGCAACTTCACTTGCACCACAAATGTAGTTTGAATTAACGATACTGATTTGGATACACGACTGGCCATCGTCATCAACATACGGGCTCTTTTCGCCATTGACCTTGAAACAAGACATTATTTATACGCTTTGTGAAGGACGCTCATTTTTATTTAAGAAACTCACTTTAAGAAATGAGTATTGAGCAATCGGAAAAAATTAAGAATTTTCAGGACACGAACAAACAAATTAAGAAACTATGAAATTAAAAAGGCAAGAACTAAATAATTTCTCGAAAAACCAACAATATGAGTGGCTGGTTGGAATGACAATTTAGACACAGAGAATAAAAAGATCCTTCCCCTTGTTAAGTACAACATTCTCAGTACCCTCCCCAACAAGTTTCTGTAGGAGAGTTTCCTAGCATGAAAATTAAATATAGGCTCCTCCAGTTCCTTGCATACAAATTTAAACATCAGTCCCGAGCATACATTTAGCATTGAGTACCGGTCATTTATTTAGGGTTGATATGGCAAATTAGGCAAATGCTTTGGTTATCTTTCACCAAGGCCATGCCATTATAAACCAAAATACCCCTTCTCTGATGCAAATTCAAATATTTTGTAAATAATCACCAATCAATATAAATGAAACAAATTGTTGAACATTTCCTATAAAAATCTTGATAGCAAACAATGATGAAAAGGTACCTGGTTTCTTCTAATTGGTAACTGCATAGAGTGAATTTCCCCAGCATGCTTGTAAACACTACTGTCTGCACCGTTTCCATCCTTCTCAGACCAAACTTCTACACTCATCTCTGCATTCTGAAAATTGATAACTCGCAAGAACCAAATCGTTTTAAGCTGTTTGTTTCTCAACTCCAGCGCCTTGATCTGCTTGCATTGAGACCGCGGATCAATCTGAAGATCACAGAACAACTGTTCTTCTTCATCGTTATTTTCTTCAGAGTAAACTCTGACTAACCAAGGAAAGTCTCGTTGATCTTTGAGGTTTATGCCTGCAAAATCAGGATCTTGAAAATCATAGGCAAAATTGAAATACGGTTGCACCTCCACGAACGTAACACCAACTCTAATAACACCATTGGATCCTAAAGCTTGAAGCTCCTTCGCAGACATAAGGTAGCCAGTTCCAAATACTTGTGACTGTCTTTCGTGGAAGTTCTGTTCAATCTGAAAACTAGGCCCACCTTCAACAAAAAGTAGAAATCTAACATGATGACGCAGCTGAGAGTTGTCGTTGACAACCGAATCCCGTGATAGATACAACGTAGCCTTTTCAGTTTCTTTGGTTCTACTTTTCCCTTCCTCATTGTTTTCATCTTCAAAATCATCGTCTTCAACTTCCCCTTTCGGAAAGAGTATTAAAGACCATTCAGCACCATGGAACGAGAAATTGAGACCCCTGACAAATATCCTGCCTGGTCTCGAAGTTACTTGAATTTTGTCCAGAAAAGTCGTAGTTTTTACCTTCAGTTTAACCTGTACCACTAATGTATCGCTTATTAAGTATCCAGGGATGTTATCTAAATATCGCAATTGTATGACTTCTCCATAGCCTATCCCCGACCCAGGCCGTTCGTAGATATCATCCTCCAGAATGCTTCCCTCCTGCACTGTTTTTGAGCCGTCAAATTGATTGATAACATAAAATTCAAGCCCAGTTTTGCACTGGCACTTGATTGGCGATTTTTGTCCCATTTTTGTTCCATACCACCTAACAAACAATCCCAAATGTTCATTTTTCTTACGAATTTGTAGCTTCCAAATGTGACCAGCATATCTAAATGCCCTGGATAATTTGTTTTCGCCAACTTTGCTAAAACTCGAAATGGTAAATTTGTAAAATGAAATATGATCCACTTCATTAAACGTGCCGAAATCTGTAAGGCGAAGACTCATCTTGTTTGGCTTGCCATCAATTCATGTCAATACCTACGAGAACCAAGTAAAAATGAATTGAACTACAAAATTGAAATAGCAGCAGATAATTTTGAAGTAGCTCTTCGATGATTGAGAGAATTACCACAAAATGTCATTGCCATATCTTGAATTGAGAAAACAAAATATTCCTAAAAAGCAGCCATACAAATAAAATAACTAAAAATATCAAAATTTTTTAAATGTATTTAATATATTAAAATATATGGTTATGTGTTCAAATTGGACTTCTTTCTAAGAAATCTCGACATGTGTTTTCTCCTGCACCAAGCTTATGCGTTACTTCAGATTTGTTCAGAAGATTCAAAGAACATTGGCAGAAGAGTTATAAGCATAAAAAAACGGGGAATGACTACATTGTTGAAAAAACACGTGCTTTTGAACACAGCATTCAATTTAAACAATTTATACCAATTTTCTTCTTGATTCATTTTTTCCACGCATCACCTTTTAATAGAAAAAATTCACTAAAGCCTGAAACATCGTATTTTAATTGGAAATATTAAACAAAAGAATTATCACAGTTTAATATTTTTGCGTTGCAGCCTATTCGAAAGTTGTTCGTCCTCCATTTTCGTATGACGCAAAAGAACGTTTTTTTGACGTGTAAATTTTGTTTAGGGCATTTAAATGACGCACTTTATATCACTGTTTGAAAACCATTGACAAAGCATTTTATACGTGAATGCTCAATTCACAGTCAGATAAAATATAATGAAATAACTAGTTACAACGAAAAATCTCTCATATAAAAGAATAACTTAAAATACTGTCCTTTGATACTTTAACGCAGAACTTGATATTAGCAACAATCAATAAATGTTAAAAGTGTTACTGAAAACTAAAAATTGATATAAATGAAATATTCAACACCAAACAATTATACTGCATACAAATATACCTGTATATAACAAAACAACACAATCCTATGGTATCTGATAAAATTTACATCTGTACTTAGCTAGATATGACGGCTATCAATTTGATTGCAAATATTGTAGAAAATATTATACATAGTTGTTTGGTACTATTCAATATTGCTGTCATTGAATATTGTATTATGTTGTTTATTGCATATCATTATTACAGTATAATCCTTCAGCAATATCATTGTCATATTCTTGCTGGTTTTACATCTTAGATAATATAAGCGAATATAAGCTCTTAAGATTATTACAATATATACCATCAAACAGTTGTTCTAATATTTACATAAGAGCCTCAGGGACTCTAGTCAGTATATTGTCCATGTCTATATGAGTTTTAAAAACATAATTCATTACTTCCCTTTTCAGCTTAGGAATTCAGCTTATATTATATAGAAAAGTGTATAAAGTACTGAAAATTGTAATAGAATTGAAAATATAAATGTAAAATGGTCCTTACTTGCTTGTCATGCGAAGATTTCATTGCCAAACACTTTTCTGTGAATACAGAGTCACTGATCTTTGTCACATCTCCAGTTACAGCCCTATTGCTGACCTGAGTCAGCCAGTTGGTTATCACAGCCCTACTTCACTGAGTTGAACGGAAAAATGCAGAAACCTACAAACCTTTACCAGGGTTCTCCTGTGAAAGCCGCATCCTGCGAGCGAAATTACTGCAGCAAAGCGTAAAATATGAGTGAATGCCCGGTCTTGTATCTCCAAATGCTGAACCAAATCGATATTGTCGGAAACGAGCTCATTTATGAGCACTGAATACAAGCGCTGTTTTGTGAATTAAAATTTCATGATCACATCGCTAGGGTGATCTATTCGCGCTTCTTTCTTGAATAAAAGAAACATAAACATCAAATCATTACCAGTTGTGTTTTCCAAGGCGAACAGGTAACATAGCATGGCCATTCGAAGGTTATCCACTTCGCATTTGAAAGCACTTGCAATGGCAGACGTGTTCTGTAGCGTAAAAGGCAAAATAAAACAAAAATTCTAAAATAGAATTACGTAAGTAGACAAGAAAAACATCGCTGCTTTTTCAACTTGGATAATAAATGGGTTAACAGCTGTTTTGGTGGCGTTGCTTCAAAAGAGTCTGTTCAATAAAACTAGAGGGACTATTGAAACCCAAGTGTAGTTGATTTGTCTCATCTAAACTAGCAAAGTATTAATAAGTATAAATCATAGGAACATGGTACAAAAAAGTTGAAAAGTCTCTAGATAGAAGCTAGGGTCATATCGAGTTGTATCAGGTCCTGAACAGAGATAGGCAAGTAGCTTTCTGATACAGATTGGAATGCCGAAGAAACGTCAATGCATGGAAATAACGAAAAAAAATAAGAAATTGCTTGTTGTTATTCAAGAATAAGTAACGCAATGAGGTGAAAGAAATAAATTGACACATATTGCAAACAACTTAAGAATGCTGCAAAGAAGGTAAATTTCTCATGAAAAAGATCGTTAAAAATAAACGAACACTGAAGACAAAACTTTTTGAGAGAAAATTGATCAACCAGAGAATGTTAGGAAAAGGTGGGTATACACTTTTCCTGAGGTAATGAAATAACCTTGCATGGATAGTCATCGATTCACAGCGATAAGTATAAATCTTAACAGTAAGTGTTTAAGGGAGATGATTTGTCGTAAATAAGAGAGATCATTGGCCGATAAGCGATAATTATGGGAACAACTTATCATCACAGCGAAGCGTGGTTTTATTGAAATTTTATTAAGATATTGTGACAGAAGAAGCAAACAGAAGATTTATCTATGAAGGAGTTGCTGGAAATCCAGTAAAAAAGACCTGTTAATCTCATTACATCGGATTCTCGTCGTCGTATTGCTTTGTTCCTGAATATCTTTTTTATACTGCTAATCGGTCTGTTGTTTTGTGGTTGGTGACGTATAGACAGAATTTTGCACAGTTTGATGTGTAGATAGAACTGGGTGGATCTCTGTTGCTGTTTCAAGTTACAGGCTAAAAGCTACGATAACAGAACATTTTCAAGCAACTAGGTGTCTATAAGTAACACCTGAAAGAAGATAGTTACTTTATGACAATGTCAACATGTTTACATATTAAAGCGAAGATTATCATCATACTGTCCTTAATTTTTGACCAGGGCATAACGAATCCTACTAAAATGAGTTCATGGCTACAAAAGCAAGAAAAGCGCTATCTTTACCAAACCAAGGTGCAACTTAAAGACTCATTGCTAACAATGAGCCATTGCGCTGTGTAGGCATTCCCAAAATGCATTGCAGACTATCTTAAATCAATTTTGGTTGATATGCAGAGGTTTACTAGACTAACACCACAAGCCTCTGTTGTGGCGTCCGTCAACTGAGGCAGAAGCGAAGCAGAGGCTCATTGAGTAAGTCTAGAGGAATAGAGGTTTACCGCCATTGTTCGTATCGTCGCCTAGACGATTTGCCACGCGCGCAAAGGCTCCTTGTAAGGAACGGGGAAAGCTAAAAACACTTGATTGTATTATTTTGAAACTCACTCGGCCACCAGGTGGTGTCCATTTTGACAATGACAGTTTCTTAATAAAAAGTGCGCTGTTTTTGTCCAAAGGAGCGAATATCAAAACAAGTTATTTAAGCGAAAATAACAATTCTTTCAACAAAATTGATGATGAAGATCTTTGGCATCCAAGCTTTCGCAAAAGTCATTGCTGCTAACATTATGTCCTTCAAATGCTATATAGCGCCCAAAGAATGTCAAAAAACCTGGGGAGAAGGGAGAGAAGGAGAGAGCCTCGCCTAAGCCTGTTAAGTAAAACTGGCAAATTTGCCAGAAGCTGCTTATCTTATTTTTGAAAAACAAATCTCTCCTGCTTCAACAAGAAATGGCATTTGCCTTGAGAATATATTTCTGCTAAAATATTTAGTTACTGTAAAAAAGCTATTAACGAATGGGGGTTTAGACGACAAATAACGGAAAGGACACATGTCGAAGAAAAAAGTCGTATGAATAAAAGCAAATGCTTCAAACAAGATAACATCGTGCATACATCGTAAAACTAAAATATTGTGCTGTCAGAATCTCTTACCGTACACTGTTTTATAATAAAGGAGGTACAGGCGATAGGATAGAAACAAAAATAGTTTTTGGAAGATTCTTTTTTCAGAGAATATTTTCCCCAAGGAATTTCAGCTGCAGCACAGGAAAAATCCAGAATCCCCCTGAGGCGAAATTACCAGTTTATGGTAACATTGGATAATGCGCCAGAACGGGGGGAGGTTGGCAGCTATTTTATGACACTGGGTTGGGAAGTTGGTTGTGTACTGGGAGTTAAAGAGGGGAAAAGGGGTGCTAGAATTGCGGGTCCCATTTACTAGAAGGCTTAAAGAGATATGATAAAAGCACACATTAATCCTTTATGAATTTCAAAACATAAATACTAAATTTACAAGCACGGCCAGCAGTAAATTAATAACGCTTACGATGATTTTTTCTTATCAGTAAGGGGAAAAGTTGTGGATAAACAAATATATTAGAGATATTGACATCTGAATTTCCATTGCGTGAAGTGCTCATGCTGGAGAAAGTCGCAGAGAAAAATTTCTAAATATACAGCATAAACTGTAAAAAAATGGAAAAAAAAGTCTGAATAAGTTTAAAGTAGAATCAAGTAAAATGTAATGCAATTACTGCAGTTTGAAAACTGGTTCAATGGAAATGAGATTCTTATTCTTATTATCTTATAACATTTGACTCTTATTTCATATGAATATTTGTGAAACATGGTTGGATTTTTTCATTTAAGATAGGAAAATTTTTACAATCATTAAAAAAACATACAAATTGCTGATGATATAGCTAATCTATATTGTTACTTATTTATATTGTTAATTACTATAGGCATTTGCAGTTGATTACAATTTACTCGTTTATCACGTTGTTTCTTGCTTGAGCTTTTGTTGAGAGGGTCTTTTGTTTGTTTGCTCCCTATTCATTCGCTGTCCTGAGATGCCCTTTGTCTTTGTTGGAGGGACCGTTTCTGACACATTTTACGTTTCCTTTGGGGGCTTAAATTGTGTATGTATGGCGTAAAGTGCGTGTATTATCATAGTCATAAGAAAAGAGACTATGGTATGACTATGGTATTATCTAACCATATGATCTAACATAAAAGCTGTTTATTATCTAGACAGAGCAATGTGGCGTGCTTGGGAACGTTGGGAACAAACAATTGGTAAGTGTTAGTTGTTAGAACCTATTTAGTTAGTTCTGTTAGTTATTTTAAGCATAAAGTTATTTATTTGTTATAAGGAGCTATATGATATGTAAATCTGTTAGTGTGTGTTTATTTCTAGCCGTTTTCTGCCGACGTTCTCTGAAGCTACATGTATCAATAGTTTATTTACCTGTTACGTGCATCAAAAACAAATATGAAAATTATCAACATTTTTATAATATCTGTAAAATAACTACATTTTCAATATTAAAGTATTAATTTTACTTACGTATCATTTTTCTGATGCTATCATTAATCTTTCTCCACACAGATCTCATAAGATGCATTTCTAGACAAAGAATGAATTTTCGTTGGATATCATAATGTCAGAATGATCGAGAGATTCCTAATGAAATTATTTTACAATGGTTTGTCTCTTAAATGCTGGATATTTGTAAACTGCAGCAAGTACAAAGGATTTCAAGGAATTTTCATTTTTACATTTGGACAAAGACAACTCTTACATGAGAATCCAGAATCACCAAAAATGAAATAAAGCACAAATAAAGGATAATCGACTCTTAAAATTACTATCTTTTACGGACAAAACTGCTTAATTGCCCGAGTAATTGCTAAACTAAAGAGTAGTATCACATTATTATACAATATTATTTTCAAACATTACTAACTTCTCCATCAAATACCACAATAATCAGAGTTTTCTCTTAAACTCTAGCAAGCGAAGATATCATTTAATATCTTATAAATTGAATATTTCCGTCTCTTTAAAATAATAAACAATAATGTTGTTTATTTACCTGTGTATCTGAAAGGTAGCAGTTCAATGAATCTCGAGAAAATAGCTTGCGTCACCTAAAAATACCTACATATTAGGAAAAGGAGGTATATTTTCAAAGTGAATTAGCATCGGTAAATTGGCGTCTTGCACTTTATTTTACTTTTGAATTAAGATACGTTACAAGCGTCTAGGTAGCAAGTTAACGAATTCCAGAATTCCTGAATTCGGCAAAGAGATTTGAAAGGGTGAACACTGCAAGAGTATATCGTATTTCGTATATGTCTCAGGGAATCATATCTTTGATTTCCTGGGAGCACTGTCCATGGTTGAATTTGTCTAAAATTTAGAGATTTTTACAACACATAAAACAGAGCATGAAGAGACTTGAACTAAATATTGGCAAAATGTTCAACATTGAGGGTTTGTGCAAGAATAAAAGCCTTGATAAGGTGATACTGCAACAAAAAACAATGCCTCAACAGCTAATTATTTTCAGATTGCCTATCTTACCTTTGCACAATACTTTAATTTCAATTTCCACTTTCAAAATTCAAATTTCAAAATTAGCCAAAATCCACATCCTATTCAAACAACTGGTGATTTTATGATCAAGCACTTATAATACTAGCCTTATTTCATGCGCAAGAGGTGTTGACAGCTATTCAGAATATTTTTATGGTCAAAGATGGTTCCAATCCCAAAGTGGAATTTAGTTTATAATGTACAGTCTTAAGTTATACTTGAAAACCTAAAGTGATTTCTTATA